GAGCCAGAAGGTTTGCTGGTATCACCGGAGGTACGGCAACGCCGCACGGAACTGCGTGCCTCCCTGCGAACACTCAGGAAACGGTCGGCGCCAGCACTGAGGGCGACCAGTGCCTCCACCTTGCCGGAAAGTCGCCCCTCGGTTTTCTTTCTGACCGACCGCGCCAAGGGCGTTCGTTTCCTCGTCGACACAGGCGCAGAGGTGAGCGTGGTCCCGGCGTCGGCTGCCGATCGGAAGCACCCCAGCGGATTTCCCCTACAAGCTGTCAACAGTACGACAATTGCAACTTACGGGCACCGCTCGCTATCCCTGGACCTAGGCCTCCACAAGACGTTCCGCTGGGTGTTCATGGTTGCCGACGTCAAGTTCGCAATTCTGGGGGCGGATTTTCTTCGCCACTTTGGCCTCCTTGTCGATGTGCGAAACCGAAGACTCCAGGATCCCATCTCACAAGCGGCCGTGCAGGGCAAGCCTTCGAAGCATCCTCCGCTCAGCCCAACACTGATTGGACCGTCAGGGGCAGCACGTTTCACTGCCATCCTGAACGAGTTTCCTGATCTGACGCGCCAACCACAAGCGGACTCGGCAGTCAAACATGACGTGCGACACCACATCGGCACGACAGGCCCACCGGTTCACACAAGGCCCCGCCGGCTGCCACCCGAAAAGTTACAAGTGGCCCGTCAGGTGTTCGACCATATGCTGGAGCTTGGAATCGTCCGACCTTCAGCCAGTCCCTGGGCATCCCCACTGCACATGGTGCCCAAGTCGACACCAGGAGACTGGCGACCCTGCGGGGATTACCGCGCACTAAATCGGGCAACTGTACCTGACCGCTATCCAGTGCCGCACATCCACGACATCACTACGAATCTGCACGGCGCATCAATTTTCTCCAAAGTGGACCTCGTGCGGGCGTATTATCAGATCCCCGTGGCCCCAGAGGACGTCTCAAAGACGGCCATCTCAACGCCATTCGGACTGTTTGAATTCCTTCGCATGCCGTTCGGCCTCCGCAACTCAGGTCAGACCTTTCAGCGCTTCATTGACGGCGTCTTGCACGGCCTCGACTTCTGCCACGCCTACCTCGATGATCTGCTCATTGCGGGCAGCTTGCCGGAGGAACACGAGCACCTGCGCACCGTGTTCCGGCGCCTGACAGAAAATGGAATCGTCGTGAATACCTCGAAGTGCGAGCTCGGAGTCCACGAGCTGGCATTTCTTGGACACGTCATCTCAAGCTCCGGAATTCGACCACACCCACAGAAGGTCGAAGCCATCAAAGAGTTCCCGCAGCCCAGCACGAGGCGCCAGCTCCGCGAGTTTCTCGGACTGGTAAACTTCTACCGGCGTTTCGTCCCCCAGTGCGCGGCCATTCTCCATCCTCTGCACAGCTTGTTGTCTGGCCCCGGAAGTGCTGCGAGCGTGCTAAACTGGAACGACGAGGCGACGACGGCTTTTCGACTAATCAAGGACAGCCTGGCTGATGCCGCACTCCTGGCATACCCCCAGCCGGGTATCCCACAGTGCGTCATGGTCGACGCCTCGGACACGGCCGTGGGCGCCGTCCTGCAGCAGCTAAACGGTGGAGTATGGTGGCCGACTTCCTTCTTTTCCCGGAAGCTGATGCCGACGGAGCGGCGCTATAGCACATTTGGACGCGAGCTGCTAGCCGTCTATGCCGCAATCCGGCACTTCCGGCATTTCTTGGAAGGAGTGGAATTTTTCGTCCTGACCGACCATAAGCCCCTCACCTACGCGCTGCGTTCCGCCACCTCGGATGGCGGCGCTCACACAGCACGTGAGCTACGTCAGATGTCGTACATTTCTGAATTTACGACAGATATTCGCCACGTCAAAGGAGTCGACAACGCCGTCGCAGATGCACTCTCGCGCAGCCCAGTCAGCGCTCTCTGCTCCCTTGCCGGGATCGATCACGGAAAGCTGGCGGCGGCTCAGCGCGGTGATGAAGAATTAAACCGCCTACAAACGACAACAACCTCACTGACACTGCAGTGGTTACCTCTCACGGCAGCCCAGGAGAAGGTGTGCTGTGACACCTCTACAGGTAGCCCCCGCCCATTTGTTCCCTCTGGTCTTCGCCGCGAGATCTTCGCATCACTGCACAGGCTGTCCCACCCTGGAATTCGAGCAACCCAGAAGTTGGTCACTTCCCGTTTCATCTGGCCCGGCATCAACCGCGATGTGCGCCAGTGGACACGTGAGTGCCTTTCGTGTCAGCGTTCGAAGGTGCAGCGCCACATTGTGACACCTTTGGCAACCTTTCCAACACCGGACGCTCGATTCGACCCCGTCCACGTCGACATTGTTGGCCCGCTACCACCTTGTCAAGGCCAGGCATACATCCTAACATGCGTAGACCGCTTCACGCGTTGGGCAGAAGCCATCCCCATACCAGACATGACCGCCGAGACCGTCTCTCGTAACTTCCTCCAACACTGGCTGTCTCGCTTCGGAGTGCCTTCCACCATCACCACGGACAGAGGCAGTCAGTTTGAGTCGGCCTTGTTTGCCGGTTTTACTCATCTCATCGGCGCCACGCGTGTCAAGACCACAGCCTACCATCCAATGAGCAACGGCATGGTGGAGAGATTCCATCGCCACCTGAAAGCAGCACTGATGGCAAACGAGGGACATTCCTGGGTGGAGGCACTGCCCCTAGTCCTTCTGGGCATCCGCACCGCGGTGAAAGCTGACATCGGCTGCAGCACAGCCGAACTCGTGTACGGGACAACACTCCGCCTTCCCGGCGAGTACTTCGGCCCTAGTCAACCAGAAGCCCGCGTCGCCACCGGAGACTATGCGTCTCGCCTAAGGGACCTAATGGCAATACTCGGAGCGACCCCTCCCCGTGAGCCGACAGCACGAGCCGCGCACGTGAGCGCCGACCTCACATCATGCACGCACGTATTCGTGCGACACGACGCTGTGCGGCGCCCTCTTCAGCCCCCGTACGATGGGCCATTTATGGTGCTGCGCCGCAACAACAAGATGATGACCATCGACAGGCGTGGCCGACGAGATGTCGTGTCACTCGACCGCGTGACGGCCCACATGGAACGCTCGGCTACCACAACGTCCACCCCCTTCACGGCCGTACCTCCCGCGAGGCTGCCTTCGGTGCCACCTCCGCCAGCTAGTGCGAGAACCACGCGCAGCAGCCGGCGTATCAGGGCCCCTGTGCGGCTCGACCTGTGATTCCTTCTTCCGCTCGCTCACTCACTAAGGAGGGTGTATTGTAGTGATCACATCACGCCACGCGCGGGCGTGGCTGCCCGACGAACCTGGCCTAGCCTGCCAACCGGATATGTCCCCCCTTTTCCCGCGCGGGAGAATTCCCCTCGCCCGCGGACGGCGGTGACTAAGGAATGTGGGGAGCGGGGGAGAAGACGGGGAAAGGAGGTGAGGCAGACGAGGAAGACCTGCCCGGGAACTGGCACTTGGAAATAAAAAGATCAGTTGAGTTTGGGACGCCTATGGTATCACTTCTCCCAGGCTGCGTCTCAACAGATACATTAGTATCTGCTTCGTGGTGAAGATGTTACACTATTATGTGACCATTGTGGAGAGCTTCTGACCATTATACACATTTTATGGCATTGTTCGTCCTATAACTACTACGTCCCACATTTTCCCAAACTTTTTAGAAATGACCTTCCATTTCACCCGTCGTTTTTTCTTGGCAACAGACCTTTCGTTCCTCTCAGCTGTGTTTTAGACTTTTTAAAACAAACTGAATATTTATACCATTTGTAACTTTGTAGCCTCAGAGTAATTTTTGTTACTACCGTAAAATACTGTAAGGGCACCCTCCCCCGAGAGATAGCTCATCCTGTTTTTCTGGCTAAATATCTGTAACATAAAAATTCCGAAACATCGCCCACCCCCCGATTCCTGTTGAACGTCAAGCGATGTCCGACAGGAATAGCGCATCAACGGCGCTATCGGCGATACCGGTGTGTCCAAGAAGCGAGTTCATAGCGGGTTCCCGCGTTTTTGTCTGCGATCTGCGCGCGATATCGGCTCGCGTAATACGCTAGTTGTTCCCGTGTGTATATTGCATCGTGAAATGCGAATCTGCGGCGTTCGCGATTTGCGGTATTCGTTTCTGAGTTCATAGCGGATTCCCGTGTTTTTGTCCGCGATCTGCACGCGCGATATCGATTTTTAGCTGTAAGTAACACGCGCGAGTTGTTCCCACGTGTAGATTGCATCGTGAAATATGATTCTGTTGCATCCGCGATCTGCGGCATTTGTTTGTGTGACATGCGAGTTTGTAGCGTATTCCCGTGTTTTTGTCGGCAATTTGTGCGCGTGATATCGGTTTCCGTGACAGGCAAGATTGTAGCGGGTTTCTGCATCTTTATTGCACCCTGAAACTTGAATCTGCTGCGTCCGCGATCTGCGGTATCCGTTCCCGTGAGATGCGAGTTCTCGGCAGGTTTCTGCGAGTCCTTCGCACCGTGAAACGCGAATCTGCTGTGTCAACCACTTGCGGTATCCTTTCCTGTGACACTGGAGTTTGTAGCGAATTCCCGCCTGTTTATCGCATCGTGAAACGCGAATTTCCCGTGTCCGCAATCTGCGGTATCAGTTCCCACGTCACGTGGTTTGTAGCGGGTGCCCCAGCGCTTATCATTAACTTTTGATAAAGTTTTGCTGTGGCATCCCCAAAGATAGCCCACCCCATGTTTTTCACCATTTATCTCTTTATTTTGGGTGGGCGTCCTTACGGGATTTTACGGTAGTATTATGCTCGGAATACGTTAAGCTTGGCGCATTATGGCCCTCGAAATAAACGCCTTATCATCATCTTCCTAGCGGAGAAAACTGGAAACGTTGGAGTGCACGTTGGACGCCCCAACATGAATTGTGCCTGGGATTTCCTCGACAGTGGATAGCTGTTCGGGCGCAGCTGGGGCCAGCATTAAAGCTGAAATTCCTGAACATAGCCGAACTATTTTCTCGCTTTCTTGCAGGTACAAGAACGAGAAGATATCTCACCTGGTGGGCTGCATTGCCGAGCTTTCCGAAGAAGAAGAGTGTCAGCTGCTGTGCTCGGGGAAGAACGACTTCAGCGTCATGTACTCGTGCCGGAAGAACTGCGCTCAGCTTTGGCTCGGACCGGCAGCCTTCATTAACCACGACTGTCGCCCCAATTGCAAGGTGCGTTTGTGTTCCTCGCGCTCGTGTCGGTTGGACTCCGCCGCAAATTATGCGTAGGGTTTTCAGTCCCCGGCGTTAATTTTAACGGGACTTGTCGAAACGAGCCTCTCGTTACACTAAAATGCACGCTTGTTGGCAGATATCTACCCTGGGTGTGACCCCCAAGCACATGGAAGTGTTGTTAAGTATTGTGCAAGAAAGCAGACAGCAGAGTGCAAGCGTGAAGAGAAGTGCTCTGGTATCCAGTTTCAGCTATGATGTTATGCTTGTTATAGAATGCTCTATTTATCTCCATTTTACAGTCAGAGTCGGTGTACAGTGCAATTCACTTATAACAATACCACCTATAACAATGTACCACTTGTAACAATCAGTTTCTAAAGAACCGTGCATTTTTGTGGTATGTCTATCTAGAAATAAACCATGTAGAGCAGTGGAATATATTCGACACGTCGGCTACAATAATTGTCAATGCACCGACTGGAAGATATAAAAAAAAATAATCAGGCAAAAAATGAAACTAGCGATAAAAAGTGGCGGACGAACGACACCCAACTTGCCACACGCGTATAAAAATTCACTACGAGTTGTCGATGCTCGCATCCTGAAACCGACCGATATCATCATCGTTGGCATTGGTCATTACATTTTAAAAATGGCAATGGCAGAATGCATGCAGTGAAAACGCAGGTCTTGGCAGTTTCGGCGGAGATAAGACAAAGCATGCTGACATTCGCGTCAGGGTTTAAAGAAGCCTGGAGCCTCGTCCAATCCTATGAACTCTTCCCGTGCGATACCTTTGCTGCCCCGTGTCGTGACCCCCCCAATCTTGATCGCTGCTGCCGCCATTGATGAAGGTGGTCAGAGCGACAGCAATATTGACGAGAGTTTGCGACAATGTCAGCGACATCATCTGTGCCATCATCGATGATTGTCCGTTTCCAATTTACCTTCAGGGCGTTTCCCTCGCGATTCAGTTACTGGTCGATTTTGTACGGGCGATAAGACTGTGGGCGGTACACGTGTATCAGCTGGATACGTAGTACATCAGAATCATGTACGAAGCGTTGATTTCCTGTCCTTTATGCATAATTTATCAAACAATCGTTCATATATACTACTAAATAAAAAAAAAATTATTTTAAAGTTGATATTGTGTGATGCAATCAGTATGTTGCATTGCTGAGTAACTTGCTCCATGCTGCAGCATGGGGTATTATACCGCGCACTTTTCGAGGCCAGCCTGGATACAACGATAATAGGTTATAATGATTGAATTTTCGAGTTTTATCAGTATCGTTATAAGTGGATTGTACTGTACGCAGGATGCATTTCTGTGGCATTCTTTGGGGTTTGCAGTGGACATTGAAGTTTGTTTTAAAAAAATGTTTTGGTTATTGCATAACATTTTGTTCCAAACTCTGTCCCTTTTTATGCGATGGGGTGGCCACGTCTTGGGACTTTTTCGTCTCTTCCTCATAAACCGTTCTAATGCAAACACCGGCAATCGGCGTTCGCATTCAAACAGTTCGTAGAGACCACCGTGGCAGAGACAAAGCCAGCCAGTTTTTCACATACCCACGAATTAGTGGAGTGGTAGAGTGTCGAGCTCGCAATCTTGGAGTCGTGTGTTCGAGGCCCATTGGGGCGCGCTCAGATTTCCGTTCTCTCTTCTCAATTTACCACACTTTTGTACGGGTTGTCTTCCATTTGTTACGCATTTCGTAGCAATTTCTTGTGGCATTCTGTCACTTTTCTCGGGAACTCCAGCCTTTACCACACTCTGCGTTAAAAGTGCGAATCAAGCGTCCTTGTCTTTGGCAGCAAGACGTTAGTAGAGTGTCCTCTGAGAGCGTGTACCTAATGCAGAGCATTGTGCGCTGCTGATTGAGACGCTATGTATGCGGTGTGGGCTGTTGGGGAAACTGTTTCAAGTCTTGCTCCTTAACTCTCGCAGTTTGTGTCCACGGGCCGCGACACGGCGTGCGTGAAGGTGCTCAGGGACATTGAGGACGGAGAGGAGATCACCTGCTTCTACGGCGAGGACTTCTTTGGGGACGGGAACAGCTACTGCGAGTGCGAGACGTGCGAGAGGCAAGTCGCTGCTGGGCCTGCTGACATCCATGGGCCGTCGTCCTGTCTTTATGGGGGAAACTCCACCGCACTTTTTTTGTTTTTGAGAAAACACTGCAGTTTCGTCTGTTTGATGCAACTAGCAAAAAAGTTTGATGTTTGCCATGCCAACAATATCTGCTAAATTTAGCACATGACGTGCGCTATGTCAAAGGCATCCTGATTTTAGGTTGTTCACAGGTGGCGCCACTGGGACAATTTACATCACTTTGTGGGACGCACGTGTGCTGGAGACAATGTTGTGAACACACCACAGCAGTCGTCTGCTAGAGATTAATCCCATGTTTCGCTTATAAACTTTGACTGTATGTCTAAACGACACATGCATAGATTGTAATCCCATGTTTCGCTTATAAACTTTGACTGTATGTCTAAACGACACATGCATAGATTGTAGCATTGAAGACGCTGCTCGTCATTGGATGCAGAGTCTGGCGCGACGCAAATGACACTTGCACTGCACTCGTTTGCGTAGTGGATGGCACGACTGTTTGCACCATGTAGCTGCCTGTCGCAGCCAAAGTTTTGGTTTGCGATCCCGTTCAAAAGAAGACTTGCATGGAAACCACTGATTTTTTCGGGGGACAAGTGGTGCAGAGCCGTTCGTTGGCACTTCTCCAAGTCTGGTTCGTTTAAACTCTGTTGCTGTTGCTGAGCCGGGCACTGGTGCAACGCAGGAGGGGCACAGGCGCGTTCAGCACCAAGAAGAGCCGGCAGCCTGCCACGGACAGCCACCGACTGGCGTACAGCTTCAGGGAGACCGACAATCGGCTGAACCGCTGGAAGCAACAGGGCAAGACGTCTCATGGCAGCCGGGCTCAGCATGCCTCCCAGCAGACGCATCGCGCTTCAGGTACGCACGTGGGCAGGGCGCAATATCTGGCTCATGGAGTTAACCGGCGTTATCACCTTTTGGAGCCGTGCCAAACGGCGCCTAAACTCCCCTGTCCCAATGGAGTGAAGCCTGTCATCTGTAGCAGTGATTTGATGGATAGGTTCTCATTGGCGGGCGCACGTCATAGTTTCAAGGAACGAGGCTTCCGTTGGTTGCTGCGCGGCGTAGTTACAAGGAACACCACCCCACAGAGAAGCTCTCTTCATGGCGACGCAGCGGCCCGGCCGCCGGTAAGAGGGAGCGGCTGGCCGCAGAGCCACCAGCAGACCCTGCACGGCTGAGCTCAGCGCGGCGCGGCCACTTCACGAGAGCGCGTGCTTGGCCGTTGGCCACAACCTCGGCAGTAATGAAACGTGGCCGTCCATGCCAGATTGCCGCAACAGTCATCATGCTTTCGCATTCACAGCTCATAAATGCTTAGGTGTCCTCGGAATTTTCAGACCGCAGCTCTTGGGTGCCCGTTTCCGGGTTGCGCGGTGTCGGCGTCAACGTAACCGCATATCGTCACGAGGGCCACGAATGGCGTCACGAGGGTCACCAGTGATGTCACGAGGGCCATGAATGACGTCACAAGGGTCACCAGTGACATCATGAAGGTCACAAGTGACGTCAGGAACGTCACCGGTGACGTAACGAGGGGGACGAGTGACGTCACGAGGGTCACCAGTTAGAGCACTGCACGGGCCCGGGCCAGCCCGAAAACCCGAGCCCGGCCTGGCCCGCGGGCTGGGCTTGGGCCGGGTAGCACACATTTTCTCGGGCCCAGGCCGGGCTCGGGCTTGAACAAAATATTTTCCGGGCCGTGTCAGCCCGGCCCGGCCCGTGGCTGAGCAGTCGTGTGCCACAAATTTTAAATTGTTGATAGCAAAAAAGGTGCTCATTTATCTTCTCGGTTCAATGAAAACAAACAAGCGAAATTCAAAATTACTAGGCTGCTGTTAAAAAGAAAAAAAAAGATGTCTTGCACTTGGAAAGCTTTCACGTAGATAAAAGGAAACGTATAGATTCCTCCACCATAGTGGGAAAGTATGGTCAAGAAACCGAGGGCACTCCAGTCGCAAGGTACAACATGAGTGTATTTTTCCTCTGCGTTTCAAACTGAACACAAGAAAAACAATGCGAGCTTGATTTTGCTTTTGTGCAGGGAGCCTTACTATGCCGCCAAAGATAAGCTAACTAGATATTTTTATGCTTATACAGCTTTTTGAATATGCACTAGCGTGATTCTGATTATTTCTTCACAAAAACATGTAGAGAGGAAAGTTCTCTGAAACGAATCGAACAACGAAAAGCTCGATATCTCTTCAAGAAATGCATAAATAAAGAATATGGCACTTTTTTTCTTTAAATCACTTATACACTGCATATTTCGCCAGTATTATCGAAAATGCCCCAAGTCGGGATATTTATTCTCTCAAAAAATCTCGATCCAAGTCCAAAAGAAATTTAAATCAAATATGCTCGCTTTGTGCTTAGACAGTCTTTAGGTTAAAGCCTGCAAACTTTTTTGGGTTCATGAATATAAACTGTGGGGCTTGGGCCGGACTCAGGCTTATATTTAAAACATTTTTTGTCGGGCTGGGGCCGGGCTCGAACTTCTGTCTAAAAATTCTGCCGGGCCCGAGCCGGGCCTGGGCTATGTCTCTTCATGGCCGGGTCGGGCCGGGCCTAGAGATGAAATATTCTGTCGGGCTCAAGCCGGGCCCGGGCCGGGCCTCTGCCGGGCCTAGAAAATCCGGGCAGGGCCCTATCACCAGTGACGTCACGAGGGCCTTGAATGACGTCACAACGGTCACCAGTGACGTCGCAAGGGCCATGAGTGACGTCACGGGGGCACGTATGACATCACGAGGGTCACGTGCGACATCACGAAAGTCACAAGTGACGTCGCGAGGGCCACGATTGACTCGCGAGGGTCACGTGTGAACCTTATGACGTCACACGGGCATACCCTCCCCTCCTGCTTTTCAAGAGCTGTGCTCTAATTCGGCATTACAGGGAATTGAAAACGTCTATCTTTTTTTTTAGTCTTTTGCGAGATTGGTGCTTGAAGTAGTCTGTGCACCTCTTGAGACAAACTTGAGGCCTGTTGCCTTCACACAATCAGTCAGACCCTCCCGCCCTGGCTGATCCTGCAAGTGAGCCCAGACAGGGACACTGCGCTGTTGTGTTTTCCCGCGAACTCCTCTCCTCTCCCTGGCTAGTACTCTCTTCATTGCGGACCGTCATCTTGTGCGATCGTGTTAGAAGTGCGGACATAATTGCATCACTCTTTTTCCTTTGTATTGTTTCTTTTGGCTGGATAGTAGAAATGTAATATGTAATTGTTGGTGATTCGTTACTCAGAAAGTAATGAAATTACTTTACAAATTACCTTTTCAAAGCAGTAATCGAGTAATTACTAACTTACAAAGAAAAGTAATGAATTGCAACTAATTCCGTTACTCATTTCACTGAGATGGTCATGCCTGACGGGAAGGTGCTGCCTGCTAGAGGGGTCTGTTCCTTTTTCTATTTCATGCTCATATTTTGCGCTGGTCTTTCAGGCACTCGATCTGCCAGAAGAGCCCTCGGCCGTCACAGCAGCAGCCAGGGCGGTCACCTCCCTACCAGAGCCAGTTCAGGTAAGCTGCGACTTCTTTGTTAATTTCAGTCGTTCCTTTTGCAATGAATTGCTATTGTTTTTACATTTTAGATGGATATGATTTTTTGTGTGTGCATGTGTAATAAGTGCATTTTGCATGTTGTATTTAGCATCAAAATTTTGTATCCCCCATCATATAATGCCCCAACCAGACGACTTGAGGTATATTAAATAAATAAAAGAATGTGTGCTGCGCCCTAGGGTCTCTGTTGTCTTCTCAGCTTGTCTTTCTGTAGTGGTTCCTTTCTGCAGCTCATTCAAGTGTCATTCCAAGCTGCGACGCCTCCGGTCCCATGCTGTCTGTTGCCGTGTGTTGTAAAACGCTCCGTTGATAGAGCTTTCCAATAATCCCCTTTTGCGCGCTGCCAGAATGTTGAATGTGTTCAAACAGTTTTCTTTGTTGTCATTCTTACTGCTCAATCAGTAAGAGCAGCAAAATTGCAATGTGCAACATCGCAAGGCTTCTTTTTCTATTCCAAATAGGTCACAAGAACCCCTCAGGAAATCCAGATGTGCTCCAAGACCTCCAACAGAAGCCGGCGAGCGTCGGCAAAAACGCTTTGTCCAAGCCGGTGCTGTCGGCAAAGAATGTGGTGGAGGTGCTATGCAAACAGTCCATAGCCGGCAAAGAACTGACTCACAACGGCGCCCTCCACTCGAGCGACAAAAGTGAGGAACCCCACAGATTGAACGGCTCCATCGCACTCTCGGTGACGTCCAGAACCAGGAACCAGCAGCGCTGCGAGAACAGAAGTGCCCCGACGGGGAATAGGAATGGCGCCGAGAGAGTGTCAGAAGAGAAGGCGCCCAGTGAGACCACACCGCCGTGCCTAAGCTCCGCTGCACCCGAGTCTCCGCCGTCGTTGCCGCCTGCAGAGACGGCTCCTTACGCCGAAGCCGACACCAGCTGCCAGGTCCACGGAGAGCCCGCACCCCTGCGAAATCAGAGGCGAAGCACAGCCTCCGAGACACCCAAGCCAGAGGCCACTTTGAACAAGGTGCCCGTTGAGCCGACTTGCAAGCCGGCTAAAGTCGGCAAAGCAGACAGCACGAGCGCCGTCTCTTCTTCGAGCAGAAGGGAGAGGAAGCAGTCGCGGCGCACGAAGGATCCGGTTGCGGTGGTCCAAGGGCAAAAAGAGGAGGTCGACGGTACAATAGAGTCTGAAATTGTGGACGTTGATGCGTCGCTCAACGAGATTCTAGCCTTCCCCGAAGATGGTTTCGAGGTCAACGAATCGGAGCCCATAGACGTGCAGAAGGTCGAAGACCCCTTCCCGACGGTTCACCTGCTCGACGTGACGGTGGAAGAGGCTCCCATGGAGACCGTGGCGCCGGAGAAGCCGGAAAAAGTGACCTCCACGGTCGCAGGGAAGCGGGAGCCGACAGAAAATGTAGAGGACGACTTCAAAAATCTCAGCCGCGCACGGAATGCGCCGGGGACGGACGCCGGAGGAGGCAGGAACCAACTGGTGTCCGGGTTCGGACCGTTCCGGAAGCACGAGCTCAAGATGACGTTCCGCCGAGTGAAGAGGAACCAGCGGAGCGGCGACGCCTCTCCCTCGTCCACGAGTCATCCGGTGGCGTACGAGGTGCTGACTCCCCCCCTGCTCCTGGCGGAGCCGTCGCGGAAGAAAAAGAAGAAGAAGAAGGACAAGAAGAAAGCCGGAGAGCACCGCAAGCACAGTCGCAGGCGGAACGACGCACCAAGTGGCGGCTCGGGTAGGGCCACGCGCATCCGACTCATCGTGAGGGACGCCTCTTTCACCATCAGCCTCCCGCCCGAAAAGAGGAGGAGGCGGTGTTGACAGAAGGACAGCTAGAGGGTGGAGCGTCCACTTTCGGCAAACGGTTTCGACGCCGTGCACCTCGCGGAACAGTGTTTATGGCACGGCCCGTGGGTCCCACGGGACGCATTTCTCGAAGCCGCGGATGATCGCGCGCGTCACACAATTCGCAGTGCTAGTTTCTCTGCCATTTCGACTCGTCCCTTGGACTCAGTTGTTTTTTTGCGGCGAGCGAGGAAGATGTGTACTATATGCCTGTTGTAAATAGCGGTTGCACTGCCACTTACGTTAAAGTGAATGAGGACTGTCGTCGTGGCAGCTCTCCATCGAGCGAAGATCTTTTGGGAAAATGCTTCCGGAAGTCTCTCGGCAGGACACTGTTGTATTTCCCGGATGCCGATACGTGAGGAAGTCGATTAGACGCGGCGTCCGCGAAGGCGCACCTACTGCCGCACTGCTCAGAAATCACATGCGGCAGAGCAGTGTTAGTATTCCCAGGCTAAGGTTAAAAATCTCTGCAATAGAAGAAAACAACTGGAATACAAACAAATTTTGTCAACAAAGTTTTTTTTTGCTCCACGAAAAGTTGTGTTATTGCATTTGCAGTTTGCCTCTATTGACAATGTTGTATTTATTGTATACATGTCTAAGTTATATATATATATCTTTTTTTTTTTTACACAGTTCCGCTAAACCTGGTGAAGTACAGCCGTTTTGTTTTTCTGGATATTTTTTTTAGATGTTTTATAAAAAGGCATTTGGAAACACTTTCACGATAAGAACTTGAGGCAGTTTTTCTCTCGACTGTGGAAGTCCTTTGAAGCCTGTTTAGGAACGTCAACGCAACGGTTGTTGACCAATCTACACCAAATAAATGTATCGCTGTTGCTTGACAGGGAAGAACAATGCAGGCTTTTGCTCTCTTCCTTGTATCAGGATCTTGTCATTGGTAAACCTCTGTTGGAACCAGCCATCTGGCATTGGTTGTTGGAGATTTGGGAAAGTAACGGTAGGGGAGATGGTACATTTAGTGTCAACTCGTCGGCAATAAATGCAAGTGTGTAGGATTGTGCAAAAATTCGAATAGGGGTTTTGAATAATAGGCTATTCGATCTTCGCTTCGATATGAACTGCAATATTCGTTTGTTTCGAAGTGTTGATCGAGGTGGGTTACTGGTGCACTGCGGCGAAGAAGCAACGCCCGCGGCGCTCGCTTCCGAAAAGCGCGCTTAACGGAGCTAACGCGCCGTGATCAACACTTCGAAAGCACAAATAATGCCCTTTTAAATCGTGATGTTACGTGCGCGTACCTGGTGTATTTAAAAAGAAACGGAAACTTGTGAACGACACTACAACAGAAAAGGTTTCCATTTTAATGTAGGCATTAGACTTTGTGAAGCCACAGTTCATAAACATGGTTAGATCAAAATTAGCTTCGAAATGATTTGAGAGTTTCTGTTGGAAGCTGCAGAATCCAATGGGCAGACAGAAAAGATGCCGCTGAAGTTGGAACCCTAGGAGTAGCCAGGTGTTCCGCCATTTTTCTGCGGCTCGGACCAGCTCGGACCTTCCAACAATCGGTTGCAACTTTACTAAAGTCTTATTTTTCGGGCGTCGTGAAACAGCGAGAGCTCAGTTGCTGGGTCGGTATTCGGAACGTGGTGAAACTGGTCCACAACGTTTTAGCTTGGGCCTTTAGTGTGCTGCACAAAGTGACGCACATCAACCCACGCTGGCAAGGAGCGTGTGCTTTGGTTTCGCTTGTTCCAAGCTGCGGTGTGCTTACACAAAGTCAAATAAACCATACATATATATATATATATATATATTTTTTTTTTTTTTTTTTTTTTTTTTTAAGGATATGAGGTTGTGAATTAAGAACTTACCGAACAGGATGTACCTGGCACTTGCTTGAGTTTGGTCGGCGAACACCAAGGAACAGGCAATGAGTGAAACGGTTTAAATTCACGCGCGGTCAGCAGTTGCGTGCAGTGGCGGGTAGACGCAACGTAAACAAACTGATCAAAAAAAGGTTTTTTTTTTTTTAATTTGCAAACTATTACTTTAAAAAAAATCAGTGTTTTCTGTGCTGGTCTTTTGGCTGTGCTCAACGTTACGCAGTTTTCAACGTTGGCTGTTCTCCACGTTGCTGACGTCACAGTTAAGAGCGTTTGTTTGGTTCGTTTGAGTAGTTTTTGAACACGCCTAGTGGCCTAGTTGGGTAGCGCATACAACATGGCCGCCGTAGGGGAGACGTTGATGCTCGAGAGAGGTAGGTGTGGTTTATTTTTCTCCTTTGCTTTGTACGAGCATAGACAAGCGTGAATATACGAACGACGATGTTATGCTGATTCCCTAATTACACAAAAATGTTCGGTGAGCCCACTCTTTTCCAGCCGCTGCGGGTGAAATGCCACCAACAGACTAGCTCGGAACTTCGCCAAGTTCTTCAACTATGGAAACAAACGACGACATTCCAAATAGCTAAAACTAGGGGACACACGATTTGCGAACCGACCGAGGAAGCACTTCTCGTGTTTGTTGATGTCAGCGTAGCGCAGGAGCGCTTTGACCCAGATTTAATGCCTTGCGTACATTTTTTTTTCAGATGTCAAAAGGGCGATCGAGCTGTTGGAGAAGCTTCAACGGAGTGAGTGGCGTTCGTGGATGCTTGCCAAATAGACTTGTTCCTCCGAGCCCCACCCATTTCTACTGTGTTGGGGTTTGAACACATCAACTGTCATTTGCTGTTCGCGCTGCTAACCTACGTGTTTTCTGAGAGGTCGATGCGCGCAACATGACAGCCACTGTCGTCCCTTTCTGCTTTCGTCTAATTCGATCTTTGGAATGTAAGACTCACGTTCTTAGGCACAAGTTTGGATTCCCTTTAAAGTTTTATTTGTTTGCTTCTCTGTATTTTTTATCATTGGTACCTGCTTATGTAGGTCAGCTTAGCTTCTTTGACGAGCCACCCCAGAGAAAAAAAACTCTTGTTTTTGCTAGGGTGAAAAAAAGTTTGCTCCAGTTTAATCAGAACACTTAACTTAAATAACGAAGAGATTTCTTGAAAATTAACGCTTTCCGCTGAAATTGCTTCTAGGGACTGATAAGTTCGCTGCTCATTTTTTCGCTTCCTTACCAACCTGATGCCGTGACATAGCTGGACATCGCTGATTTTTAATCATGTCACTTTTATTTTTAATTTGTTTTTGTTGATTTGGTGGTAAGAGTTCATTTCAAGGTCAGAGATGAAGGGGCTTCGTTAAAATGCTTGCAGAAAATACTTACGGAGAAGTTAACTTTGAAGGATACTTAAAAAATAAAAAATTTCGGGGCTGTTCATATGTTCCTAGGTTATTAAAGTAAACTCCCCTTAAGATGTATTATTGTGTTGTGTGTTACGATGTACAGCAGCCAAGACATAGTAGGTTGTGAACAGGACCTAATATCAGACTCGCGCTTGTATAGGCAGCCCAATACTTCGGATGCAGAACAAAACGGAAGTGATAGCGATGATAACTACACTGACGGGTGATTACAACGTACATATCATCGTTCGACGATGCACAGCTTTCGATGATACAGCATTCTCTAAAACAGTAATTTTATATTCTTGAAGAATACAAAACGAAGGCTCATTTTTGGCTATAACCCTTTAAAGGGATACTACAATGAAATTTCGGCGCTGATTTTTTGGTCTATATGTGTTCAAAGGAGCAGCAGCACATCGAACATACCAATATCTTGTTAAAAAAGTCACGAAAATGAATTTTAAAATGAATTAAACAATTAGCAAAGAGCACCTGGTGAATGTCGCTAACGCCTCGTTTGTAATGCCTGTCTAGGAACCTTGACAGCTAGTGACGGAGGTTGTCTCGCCTCCGGCCACGACGAGAGAAGAGGGGAAGGAGGAACTCCCCTCTTCCCGAGAATGCCTTTTGTGTGTCGCAGAAGTCGCTATTGTCCCCCTACAAGATTGCAGAAGATTAACCCGTCACTCAAAATTCGTACAAAAGCAGCCGCTTCGGTGGCTGGAACGACTAGGCCATCCTCTCAACGTCAGCCTCGCCGTAGCTTTGCTCGTCCTGAGACGACCTACGTCACGATTGCGTTGCATGTCACGTGGTCTCCGCTGGGCCTTCTCCAAGCGCTTGCCAGAGTGGGCCGTTAATAACGAAAAATACAGCCACCAGGTTAAAAATACAAACGTGCGATTGTCATTTACAGATATTATGGATCATATTCAACCTATTTTTGAACACGACGGGAATATTTCAAATTTCGTTGAAGTATCCCTTTAAGTAAACCCAAGTGCTCGAGCTTTAGTCGGCCATAACCCATATCAAGTGTTGCGTATATGAGGGCTCAAATAGAGGCTATAGTGAAGTACCAGTAGTCTTTACCCTCATCCTCAATAGCAGTCGGAAGGTCAGGACTGGGGGGATCCGCTATTACATCGGAGAGCCTGGTAATGATGCTGCGCTTTTTGGTACACACTGCCGTGGGTATTCATGCAACGAATTTCCAACAGGTGGCGAGGTTCCAGCACAGAAGCTCGCAGCGCTTCAGAAGGTTCTGCAGAGCGAATTCTGCAATGCTGTGCGCGAGGTCTACGAGCACGTCTACGAAACGGTAGACATCTCGGGTAGTCCCGACATTCGAGCCAGTGCTACGGCCAAGGTGCGTAAAGTTACACTTGTTTGAAGATGTGTCTTATCGTTGCCACACCGTTGCAGATCGATTTGTGGCTTAGCTATGCTGTCTCTATACCAACATTATTAGATAAGCTCGTATATGAAACTCTACTGCGGAGGGGCACTCCTCTGCGTGCCGCCTGCTAGGGTTGCACACTGCATCAGTAGACATTATCGGTATCATTGGCTACCTGTTGCCGTGCTTTCGGGCAGCAAACTATTATCAAACTGCACGGTGCCGTTACTTCCATCGTAATATTTTAAAACGTCGCTCATTTTGTTAATAGGGAGTTTTAGAATAACATACGCAATTTTATCGCACGTTAGTGCTAAATTTAGCGCTTGTTTTAGCGCACGCTACGCAAGAATGTTTTAGAATAGCGTTTCTCCGTTGTGATGCAAATGCCCAAGCATCTCGTGCTTGCAATGCCACCAAGATGCAGTAACAATTTTTATTTCACAGCCGGCATGCACGTTTTTGACGTGCACCTCCACCGACGCCACACTCACGATGCCGCCAAAGCGGCCGCATTTGCAGCCCTAGGAGCTGCCATTTTTTTTAACTGCACTCGTCTTGACTTTAGCCAACTTTTGATCACGAATCCTTCTTGGAGCAGCGCAAAGGCTCTTTGTGTACGCATGCAATTTCTGAAAAATAGCGCGCAAAGCGCAAATCGCAGTTCACGTTTGGCGCATGCATAGTGGCGACGACGCTATTCTTTGCGTACTCAAAGCTTTAGCATGTGCTATTCTCAAACTGCCTAATAACATTTTCTCGCGTTGCTGCAAATATCGCAACATAACTAAAATTCCCAACCGCTAAAGTTGAAAAAAAAAAAAAAAAATCTGCACGTGCAACAAATTTTGCGGTAGGTTTGCCTAGATTCGCCGACCAAGAAATTTTTACGCGTATTATCATGCTTTAAAAGCACAGCTCATAATATGTAAATTTTTTTGTTTATTTTCTATGTAAAAAATTTACAGCTGGCAGACGACATGTTCTACGTGTGCAAGTGGCACAACCACCCCAACAAACGCCGACATGGTTTTGAACTTTTTTGTTGCTCAGAAATCTGTGGGAAGTCCCGCAGCTAAGTTATCTACGCTTAGCTACGAAAGGGGGTCCCTTTCCAATACCAGTTCTCCAGTGTGCACTCGTTGCCTGTCACGCTTTGGCTGCGCATTGCATGCAGGGGCAGATTTATGGGTCAGGCGAGGGGGGGCAGTCCGGTTAGATATGACGCTACGGCTCAAACATTGCCCAGATCTATTTTGTTGACCCAGTATTTGCTATGTCACCGAAAACTGAACTTTTTCACACTGGTGTAATCAATTTTTTCATAAAAAAAGGAAAGATTACCTTGGGGGCTTTGCTTTTTTCCCCCTCCTCCCCCTTGCACCGGAGGCGGGATAATTGACGAATTTCCCTGTCGTTATAATCCCGTCGGTTATCATGGAAACTGTGGCCTAAGGCGTGTAACGCGATTGAGCTCGCTGACGTGCGAAAGACGACGTGCAGGCGACGGTGGCCGCGTTTGCCGCCAGCGAAGGCCACGCGCACCCCCGCGTCGTGGAGCTCCCCAAGACGGACGAAGGACTGGGTTTCAATGTGATGGGTGGCAAGGAGCAGAACTCGCCCATCTACATCTCCCGCATCATCCCCGGCGGGGTCGCCGACCGCCACGGCGCACTCAAGCGCGGCGACCAGCTGCTCTCGGTCAATGGCGTGGTGAGTTTCAATCGGCCGTGTTGGGCGCCCGTTGTGTCGCGTGCATGCCTTTTCGTGGTCTTGTTCACAAGCGTCATTGACTAAAAGCTTCGGCTGGCATAGTTTTAGTTCTCTATTTTGTACTGTTGCACTAATATTGGAATTTTCGAATAGAAGTTTCGAGTAATACGCCATTCAATATTCACACTTCTCCGAGCGTTCGTCTCGGCGGGTAAAGCCCCATTCAGTGTGCATCTCGCCAAACACCTGTGCACTGCGGGGAAGCGAAACCCGCAGAGCCCACGAGCTAAGTGGGCTTCACTTCCCCGTAGTGCACGGGTATTATTTGGTGAGAAGTGCACTTAACGGGGTTAGCCCGCCGTGAATATGCGAGAGTGTATGTTCGGCAGTGATGTCTTCACAAGCCGCAGTTATCATCAATCGTGCTTGTCTTTTTTTTTTGGTCAAATTTGAAATCGAAGAAAGAATATTGGCATATAGCAAGCAGATTTATAAATCCATTCGATTAGGATAATTGCAACAAATCTGTCGTTTACATGCCACAGTTTTTTAATATAGTTACCGTATTTTCCTGGCCATAATTCGCACCCGATGCTTAATCTGAAAGGAAGTTTGGGGTCAAAAATAAAAGATGGTCCTTAGATAGTCCACACGTCGTGCCTAGTCCGAGCGTTAAATTTATCTTGCGCAGCACACCCTGACAAATGCCTGCTGTATTAGCTGACAGTATCCTACATAAGTGAACAATAATATATTGCGGTGTTCATAAAATCCTTCTTGTCCTGTTGCAGTGAGCAATCTAAAAAAAAACAAATCCTTGTGTATAGTCTGCATTGGGTAAAGTTTAACCTTATTAAACACGTATAGTCCGCGGAAAATCTGGTATAATAAAATTATTGAGCTTGGAAGTGGACAATTGGAAGGTTGGGTGCAACCTTCACGAGTTCAGCTGAATTTGCGATTAAGCATGGTGCACGACAGTGAAAGGCTTGAAGAAACTATGCGAAATTCGATTCAAAGTTATTTGGCCAAAACTACAACTAGAGGGGGGGGGGGGGGGGGGGGAGGTGTCGCTTTGAATTTGCTTTGTACTCATTAATCTGCTATTTGCACATGCCTAAAATTTAGACAACTGACGAGTACTGAAGTTGTATGGGGGCTGTCACAAAACGGCAATGACGTGCCTGACAAAGCAACTGCCCCCCCCCCCCCCCCCCCTCCCAAAAAAAAAAAAAAAAAAAGTTGTGATTTTTTTAGCCATTTTAAGACTTAAGTTTCATTGCCCAGAAGAAATTGTTAAGTAAAAAAAAGAAAAAGGAAGTGTATATGGAAGTGCCTCTCAAGCTGTTTTCTTAATGATGGGTGGGGCCATTCAAAAATTTATATAAAATGCTCTACACAGCTTTTTTTTTAAACCTTATCTTTTTTAATTTTCTTCACCCTTTCGCGATTATGTGACTTTGTCTTAAGAACAAAAGCTGCCACAATATCAGCAGCGGGTTAGAGCTGCAATGTTTTCACCTTTGCTTGAGTATAAAACAAATCTCAACATGCTACAAGGCCAGTCTTGCAGCAAGATGCTGAGCGAGCACACGCTGGATCCAGTGGTGTGATTGTGGGTGGCACCTCTCCTGGACATCAGGGTAGAAACTCAAACCATTCACTTGGGTCGTACCCAACAAAGGGAGGGAGGGTCGTCTCCGAGAAATATCTGGGCAGAACCCTAGCAAAGGATTCTGCCCAGATATACAGTGTGTTTCTTTTTAAGCTTAACAGATTTGTTTAAAAGAAAGCCCCGAATGCTGCATGAATGCAGCTTTTGTGGGGACATGGTACAGGGGGCTGATTGTAACGATCTGTCAACTAATTAACTGAAACATGCTAGCTAATGTTTTATTTATGAAGCGTCACCGAAAACCACTCTATCAGCCAGTATTACTAACACTTGGAGCACTTGGGAAGCATGCTGAAGCGCTAGAGTTTCTACTCATCCAGCAGGAGCAGAGATAATGCGCCCGCCCGGTTTTTCCGTCTTTTATCGTCGGAGTCGCACGAGTGGTAACTTCAGTGCACAGCTGCACTTCCCGTGTACTCACTCATTCTAAAATCTACCGATTTAGTGGATTTCGAGGATGCTCGGCAATTTTCTAATTGAAACCACACGTCTATTTTTGCTAATTGAAAAGTTAATTAGCCAATTTTTGGTTAATTATTCGACTGATTGTATCGATTAGCCTCCTATGTCCCCCTGGCCGCGTAACTCACCAGCATAGACAACATTAGTGTATCTTTCGTGGATTTTTTGAACAAATCCGTAAAGATGAAGAAGAAACACCCCGTGTACGGCCATCTTGCCTTCTATGGAAGGTTTTTGCACGTGGCGTATGTCCCGTGCCATAGTTTCCTCTGTATGGTAGGAGCATGCGAAGTCGCCGTCCGAACCAGTCGTTGAAACCAGGGGAGAGGACGAGCAACAGCCGGGGAACCGTGACGCCAATGTCGTCGAAACGCCATGCGACGACCCTCCGAAACATTTCCTGTGTTTTGTTTCCGTTTCTGTGTGAAAACTGCAGAACAAAATTTAGGATGCTTAGTCCATGTATCTAGGGCTTGCCTTCCTCTTCTGACCATTTGATGCCACTGCACCGCTGTTGGCCATTGACTGCAAAAAACATAAAGGAAAAAGGAACAACAATGTTTCGGGGAATGGCCACCACCCTCTTCCAGCACCGGCTCCCAATGTCATTTTTCACGGGCAGCCGGCAGGGTTATTGTTCTTGCGCTGAATTACCTTGTTATTTGAATACGGTACTCAAATACTACAGTATACTATACATTAACTGTTAAATTTCCCTATAGAAAAGTAACTTTGTTTAGACACTATCTCCTGCAAGGCCCTGCTTTTGTTTTTTCTGTATTAGCAACTTCGGCAACTCAATTAAACTTTTTGTGTATGCTAAAGCTGTCTGTTAGATGAGGTTTATTCTTCCCGTGCTCCTCTGATTTCTTGTCCGAAATAACGGTCCACATATTTTATACGGTTACCGTGTAACAATTTTCGTTTTATTTTTGTTGCTGCTAAGTCAATGTATGCTGCTAAGGGCTAGTTGAGCCTCCATTGAGGCTCTTACCCTTTGCTCCACCATTTAACTTGGAAATAAACTTATTATTGTTATTATTAATTCAGCTGGGTGGCTTTCCCTGCACGGAGCAACGACAGTTCAGCCATCTTGGTGCTCAAAATCACGGTTTTCGGTTGTCCGGAGCTCCATCCAAAACAGTCACATACGTCTGCGTCTTGCGCAGAGCGTGGAGGGGGAGAACCACGAGAAGGCGGTGGAGCTCCTGAAGGCTGCCCAGGGGACCGTGAAGCTTGTGGTGCGCTACACGCCCAAGGTGCTGGAAGAGATGGAGATGCGCTTCGACAAGCAGCGCGCCACGCGCCGCCGCGCCACCCCCACGTCTTGAGCCGCCGACCCTTTTATTCCCCAGGAGACTCTGTGCATTCCAGACGGGCGGCCGTTTTGACGTAGGTAGCCCGTGCCTAGGCTTCCCCGCAGACGATACCAACTGAAACGTTCAGTCCAAACCTTTTCCGTGATACGGCAGTTTTCGTGGGCTGTATTGTCTTTCGGTTTGTCAGATAGTTTGAAGTGTGGGACCTTAACTTCAAGTCCCGCTTAGTTTGGACCGTAACTTTTTATATAAAAAAACAAACAAAAAAAACTGGCAGGTAATTTAAAGAAGCACTGAGGACTGTTTCAGCTCGTATTGTCTGCGATAATACTTTAAGGCTCGTTTGCACATCTGTGTCCAAATGGGATCAACTGCGTGGCAACCGGTTCTAACCGTTTACGACCAGAGAGCACGCCAATGCCATCTGTCGGGCGGTGTGGGGGCGCCTGCGGTCTGCGTACATATTGTGTGTCGTTCTTTCGCTGTGGTCAAAATAATTCTGATGATGTTATAAGAGATCATTTTTCATAAACAGTGCATAGATCTGATCTTGTTAAAAGTGCGAGCCCTACAAGCTAGTTGTATGCAAATCAGAAGCGCAAGCGATTTCGAGTGGCTCTAATCCAGTCGATCGCACCGAGGCAGAAATGTGCGATACTGCCTTTACATGTCCCCGAACAGTGTGCAATCGGTCTCTCCTGTGTGGTGTTTGTACGACACCTCACGAAAAGAGTGTGGCAGCTTTAAAGAGAGATTTTATTTTGGGGTGGGCGGCGGTGGACGAACGCATGGTTCAGGAAAGATGCCAGTTTTAACCTCTTTTCTCTACTGAGAGGCGTTCACGTTTACTTTATTGTTGTTATATTAGCAGTGCCAGTACAAATCTTTCTTAATCATAGTGTAGAAAGTGCTTTTGGTCTGCCTTTAATTATTATCTTTCTTAGTAAGTCGTCCGTGTTGTCTTCGTGCTTCTTTCTTCGTTATAAAACCGGGAATGATGACACTTGGCACGAGCTTTAAGCGTAATCAGTTTTGGCATACTCGTGCATTGATCTTCTTGGCGTAGCATGAAGTGCAGCATATGCTTTACCGATACTACTGTATAACGACGTTTTTACTTATAAAGGTATTTGGGTACATTCCGCACTTGCGCAGCGACCTGGTGTGATCTTGTAGCACCTGCTGTCTGTGGCCGGAAGAAGGAATAGATTCGTGGAGACGTTTCCATCTTTTGAAACATAGCTTCAGTTTATTTTTTTTATTTTCATGTCCTACAAGTCACTTTCCACACATAAAGCTCACATTTCTTTTATCCTGTATTCACAAGGTTGCATTATATCTGTAGCAGACGGGGAGGGGAACTGTTTTCATTCTGAAACACATTTCGAGGTGGGGTCAGATAAACCAAGACATTGAGAGGTGAAATCAGCTGCTGGTTTGCTCGGAGCCCCCGCGAACGACATGACATTGTCTCGGTTTCTGATTGTCCCCGCTACTGCAAACCAGCCCACAAAAACCTTTTTTGGTATTCAAAGGAGTGAACAGAATGGAAAAGACATACACAATATATGTATTTTTTTTAATGCATTCCTTCCCGATGATTGAATAGCTGCTGAGATAGTCTGCACCGACACTGAGAGGTTGTATTGCTCATAAATTAGATGTGCAGGAACGACCTGCGATGGGTAGTAGCGCTTTCACTAGAAAAAGAAAAAGGTAACCTTTATGGTAACAGCAACAGGAACACCAACAGTCAAAGATTTTTTTGTTGTTTTTTTTTGTTTTGCAGTGTTTTAGTATGTTGGGATACAGTCTAAGAACTGAACTGGTGGAGTGTTCGGACCTCCGGGTTCTAGGCCAACGTGTGACAAAGCGCGCTGTCTCAATGGCCAGCGGGATGACGGAAATCTCGTAACTACCTGCTCGTCCTTATAAAAAACTATGACGGCTTCAACAGACCTCTTAGAATAAAGCATGACGTAACAACGGGAGCGTACACAAGAAACAGTTTCCTAGAGACAATGTTCAAACAAACCGAAGCACGAGACAATGTTGCGACCGGAGGTCGCGCGTAATATGCGCAACTATCAAGAGCTCCCACGGATGAGTCGTAATAATGAACGAAGTACACCGTATATACAGCGAATGTACACATTAAATAACATCCAAACCATTGCAATTAGATAGTATACTCACATTATCACATTATTTTGATGTGTTTCATAACAACCACGTTGCCTGCGCAGTCTGAGAAAAAAAAAATAAAAGAAAGATGTTGTACACACCTAGACACTTTTTTTTTTTAAACAACTGTTGCTTATTACTTGTAAGACTGGGCCATAAATCAATCTCCGTGATCAGTTATTACTTGGTGGCTCCGATGGTGGATCTCGGATGCATGACAGCCGTTTTCATTCATGCTCGTGCACCGCAAGGAACAAGTTCACGATCGCCACGCGCTACTCTCAAGGACACCAATCCATTCGCTTCGTCTTCACAACATGCCAGTTCGCAAGTGCAAGTGTTGGCCAACAAGGACTCAAAACGAAATGCGTGTGTCCCAACTACCGTGCTTCTAGACTGGTCAATAAATACCTCACTAAAGACGGGGGTTATCGTACTGCGTTGAAACGAGGCGAAATTAAGACTTTGTGCCATCTTGCCTCATCCGTGCCTGCATATGGGGTAAAGGAAAGGTCAGAAGGTTTGAGTTCGTCGGTTCTCCTTTCGGCGATCGGCCGACGACAGACGTGCGGAGGGAAAACGAGAGTGTCTACGTGACACCTCCCAGGGAGGGACCACGGAGCTCAAGAACATTCTGTACAGTATATAACAGTATTCCCCGATGAGCTTAAATGGCTATTTGACAGTGTCCATTGGAACTTCCCTTTTAGACTGAGTCGCTACGACTCCATTGCTGCTTTTAAACCTCGATGGTGGAAGAGTTCGCTGAAGGAGCGAAGGCTTTTGTTTCGTTGCTCTCTCGACGCGATTGCGGGAACTGCGCCCCTCGCGGTCTTACCCCAGAGACATTGATTCAGTTTACGTCTTACAGTGTCAAGGCAATTCATCACGCACTATTGGTGTGCGGCCTGGACGAGAACAGCTAACACAGACTAAAATAATTGAAGACAATGCAAGGCTTGGAAATGATAGTCGTGCTGGAGCTCGTCGACCTCGAAGCATTCTGTGAGCTCTGATGTCTTGTCAAGGCTAATCATCAACAGAAGACTCGTATTACCTGCCAATGTGTGCACCACACCTGTACCTGGCCAAAACGGGGTGTGCGGATTGGCCGCGTGCACTGCATTAGCATTCAAAGGATACGATTATCGCATTAGCGCACGCAGACAATGACCAGCGTGTTAACTTTTAGGAGTACTAATTGGTGAGGAGGATTGTGAAACCATTTGTTATGTAGATTGCGCTACACAAAACTAAAGTGTGGCGTTTTCTTGATAAGCCTCCTACATTTGGCAAACCTGTTCATGTTTGGTTCCACCGACTGAACAAAGGAATATATTTGGGTGCAATTACCTATTGGAAGTTCCCTAAACTCCTATCTTGTAGCATGCACCTGAGGATTTGCCATGTGCAGGTCATCCAGAGCCACAGATTTCTTTGTCCGACCTGTGAACGAGTGAAGAGCTAAAACCATTGAAACTGGACACGCAAAAACGGAATGTGATGTGCTTTTACGAACATACAGCCACCTACCGCCTCTTACTATAATACGCCACCTTCTAGCACCTGTGTCTTGCGCGGTAGAAGCGGATATTTTAGTGAGAGTGAACTTGAAAGACTTCTGGGTTGTGTGTTTGTGTCCTCTTAGCGAGTCTATAGTAGTTTTCTCTGAAGCACTCAACCATACACAGGATCAAGCCAAGTCAGGACAAGGACAGACTTCTCTCGAGAAACAAGTCCCCCTAGCCCGATCAAGAGCTTTGATCCACAGTCATGTCTCTCAACAATCATATTTACACACTCGCTCCTGTACCATCGCTACTCTACTCTATCTAATACTATATGGCATGACCCACAATCTGGGAGTCGAACTTCAGTGTAGCGACGGACTCTCCATGTCTGCCAAGTTGCCTGGTGCATTTCCCCAGACCGGTGTCTCCAGATCGGAATTCAGAAATGCTTTTAAGGTCGTTGCCTCGGACAGAATAATTAGATGCGACGATGAGCATGAAAAAAAACCTAAGGATCTTGTGAGAAGAAACCAGGAGGTTCCTTTGCAGTTTCTTCCTTCTGGCTTCTGCTACCTTGATGCTTTTGATCAGTCCTAGTTACACTAGAAGGCCCAACAGAAACAACCGATACCTATAAGCCTCAAGCACGTGCAGCATGCACACGGAGGTACATTAGGCAGGCTTGCAGCGTCGATGGCAAGAGTGCCAAGATACATTCGCGTGCATGGTGCACGTGCTTGAGGCTTGCCGGTGTCGGTCGTTTCTGTTCGCTGCCCTAGTGTGACTAGGGCACGATGACGAGCTGACATGGGATACTGATGGCCAGTGTCGTTCGTCTCCTAGATTGTGCTTTGTCGTCCACCATTTGTAGTTCGGGTATGTACAGACTGTGCTGGGAGTTGAGTGCTGCCTCTGGTCGGTCATCGCACACCACACGAGACACTGGGTGCATGTACAAACGAACTGACACGGTGCAACTATTGCACAGGCCCTGGTCTTTGAGAGGTCCAGGGGCCCCTGTACGTGCGGAGGACGCCTTACTTTTAAGGGACACGTGACGCCGTCACGTGTGCTTAGCTCGGACATGTAACAGGGCGGGCCAGTATCACAGGTTCCTCCTCTACAACTATCGGCCACGGGCATAGGGAGTCTACTGTGCTAAGGTCTTGCGCTATCATTGCAGATCTTCGAGATCCGCTTGCACACTTGGCACTTGGTTCTAGGGTCGGGACAGGAGGTCTTCGGCAACGTAGTTCGTAACAAGGAACGAGGTGCAGCTGTTTTAAAGTGCAAGGACGTGGAACTCAAACTTGCGTTTCAACGCTGAAGAACAGCGACAAGATGCCGTCATTAAGAGTACCTATACAGTCATGGCGATTGTCTGGGTATATGGGAGCCAATCATGTTTAGAAACGTAATTCCATAATATGTTCATTACAAAGAAGAAGAAAAAAAGTGGAATTGCGTTTTCTAAGAGAGAAAGACATTATCAGCCAACACTTGCACTTGTGAATTCCGACTCTGAAAGAAATTAAGTATTCGGGTACATCTCGCATCCAGCAGAAACGAATGCCCATGTAAGTACATCGCCCATCAGTCCACTAACAAGACGGCCTGTTAGCACCACGCAAACGTATATCGGAAAACTATTATACACGTCTTTCAACACATCCACGGCTATAAAACATTTAGACAGATACGCACGAATTTCCAAGTCCGACAACAATCCTACCAGCTTGCAAAATAATGGGCATTCGTAACGTTCGACAAAACGCGACATCCGCAGCTACATCGATCACCCGAATTCGCTTGCAGTCAGAATCTGGTGCGTGTCAACGAACGACTATATGCGAACAATGTTACACGCACATATTTTTTTTCTCTCGAAAGGGTTAGAACAGTCAAACAGTGTTAGGGTAACTCAGACAGGGGGTTTGCTAAAGCATCATACTGGAACCTCGAGGCACGAAAGAAGAGGAAACAAAATAAAGGACACTGTTGTCTTCCTTTGTCTCGAGCTTCAAGTTTTAAAACGTCCAAGCTCTCACACTGTACGCATCGCGTTCAGAACCTTTCCGCGTTGTAGTTATGTCCTGAGCCTTGCAGATTGCTGCAGTTGCGTCTTGCGACGCTTTGTTTGCGGCGGTTTCGTTTTTTGTTTTGTTTTTAACTTGTGACAACATACGCAGCCAAAAACCGTGGTACGCGGTTACGACTCGAAGCAGGAGAAGAGAGAGGTTTGAAGTGGTACAAAGACCCCACACGATCATATCGACACGAATAGAACACGAGACTAGCCGTCTTCAGAACCCACAGAAAAACAAAAACAAACAAAAAAAAAAAAAACGCCAGAGAATTTATAATTTTTTCCTAAAATGGCAAACGCGCGCCGAGACACACGTCACCTTCGTGAGCGGGCCTTTTATTCCTTTATTCGCTCGTGTATGGCCGTCATGCATCTCGCGAACCACCGTTTTTCTTTTTTGCGCAGGCTATGTCGTCTCCGAGGCTTAAGACTAAAAGCCGCAGGAGAACGTCGCGAGGGCTTGACTTCTCGCTGTCGTTGCGGTGCGTTCCCTGTGCTGGTTCTATTGCTTCGTGCTTCCACGCTCACACTGACGCATATACACATGGCTGGAACTAGAGAGCTGCGTGAGGTGTGCCCATTCCGTTAATACTGCTCCAGTCAGACGACGGGTTGGTCACATAAATCAATAAATCTAGACGGCCGCTAAGAGTGCGTTTGAAGCGCTCCAACAACTTCCATTCGAACTATTGCCGCACCCTGTTCCTTACGAAATTGGTAAATTCTAATTTGAAGCTGACAAAAAAACCTTTCAGCCTTTCCACTCTGGTAAAGAAGGAATAGAAGCAAGGTTGTCCCACGTGCAAAAAAAAAAAAAAAAAAAAAAAAAAAAAACTAGTTCTCTCTATTGGTATAGAGGAGGCTATGTCTCGATGGCATTGAGGCAGCGGCTGCGTAACGAAACTGAGTGGTGATACCGGGCTGCTCTGCGAACCTTCCTACATATCAAATGCCCTTAAAAAAAATGTATATTTTGCGCAGTAGAAGATTAACTGCAAGATAACGTGACCCTGGTCACACTCGCTTGAAACGCACTGAATAAGCTACGCCAGAGCCTCTGAGCAACGCTTCTGAGTAATGATACTTGCCCATCTTGTGGCTTAAAATCATGGTTGCCAGTTATCTGAAGCTTTATCTGAGCTTCCTAACATTGTATCTCATGCTGAGGAGGTCGCACTTTTGAGTCACGACGATCGGCAGTTGCGTCTGCTCTGCACAAGCACCAAGGTGGCGGCGCCCACAACAATATCGTGGAACAGAGAGCAGATACTCTAAGCGTAGCTAATTATCTAATTGTAGGAAGGTTTAGCATAGCGCTGCCGCAGGTTACCGCCTAGAGCGGCATCGCTTCCACGAACGCGCACTCTGCGACCTTTAAGCATGCTCTTCAGAGCGCATGCCAGCTAGGAGCAAGTTTAAGAATAGGAGGCGCCCCAACTCCGAGTCCTCTAGAGTTCCTGTAGAAAACGAGGAACTCTAGAGTCCCCTAAGCAGCTTGGGAAGTTGGGGTGTCGCACTTCGCGTGCGCAGGCGGTCTGCGCATGCCCCGTGCGACTCCCTCAAACCACTCTGGGTGACCCAGAGTGTTGGGGCCTCCTCTTTTAAAACTCGCTATTGCCGTCCGTGCTGGTGGTACACCCTGCGCGGTAATGCTACGCTGAGACTACCTAACGTTTTGCCCAACCGGAGTGGTTATTCTCGGAAGCTACGGCACACCTCTACACTGAAAACTGCTGGAAAAGAAATAAAGAAAAAAAACTGCGATGGCACAACCACTCTTGCAGGCCTAAGGTGTCCGGAGGTGAAAGCAACGCCCAAGGCTCGCTTGTCTGCAACCCTCGCGAGTTTGCCGAGTACGACGCGCTGCGCGGGTCGTCGTATAGCATGAGCAGAACGCAGTGCCGCACGTATACTGCATCGTCGTTCCTGGCTGATTGCTGGCGTGAGCGAGCGGTTCCCGCCACATAACCTAAAGTTGCGCTCGCGCTGCTGATACGTCGTACAAAGGACAGTCTGTTCCCTGTACGACTGTCTTGTCGCGTTCATCTTACAAAAAAACTTTCTGCAGACATGTTCGAACATGCGTGCATGAAGCTTCGAACATGCGTGAGGCGTCCCTGCTGCGAACACGGTGGCTTTTTTACGACGTACCAGCGACATGTTACCGCGGCTTAATCGGAACCAAATGTGTGACCTGCCCGAGTCGTCTGTACGGCGACACCGATTCAGGCCGAGGTCAGTCCCAAAAAAACGGCGCAGCATTGCAATGTCTGCGTTGCAATCGTCGAAACCTAAAGTTCATGGGGACGTGCTGCAGTTAACGGAGGGTAAACTCGTCGAAAACGTTCTCGCGTATACGTTTCTATCATTTTTTTTTTTTTCGTACATCGACGTACAGGAGTATCCGTCGAGGGTCGTGTCGTTCGCCACTAGATGGCGACTGTCTTCTTAATTGTTTATGTCTCGGCTCTAGAAATTAAAATGCTGGCTACGTGCCGTAAGCCGCAATCCGTCCCCTTCGGACGTTGATTTTATACTAGAACTTGTTTACTCATTGGCAAGTTAAGATAAGTGTTAAGGCCCGTTCACACTCTTGCAACCGACTACGACCGAGAGAGACCAGACCGGTTTTTAAGCCTCTTGCGATCTCTTAGGACCAGCTCCGCTACACCGCATCCGGTCCTAAGAAGTCGCAAGAGGCCTAAAAACCGGTCTCGTCTCTCTCAGTCGTACTCGGTTGCAAGAGTGTGAACGGACCTTTACTCTGGCCTTTAGTGACGCCGTACCTTGGTGACGTATTTCGCAACTGATTCAAGATCTCGCGGGAGACAAAGCCCCATAATTAAGGTGTTCAAACAACTTTGTCAATGAAAGCTCATTCCATTGTCACACGCACAGTTCTTTGTTATATAGTTTTACCGTGGCGTTAGTTGGGGAACGTTCTCTGAAACGTTCGAGCTTTAGAGACGTTCGGGGAACGGCACCGTCGTGGAGCTGGCGGCTCAGTTGACAAATAAAAATAGGCGGTAACAGAATAGTTCCATTTTGTTTTATGTGGCCTTGTATTTTAGGGACCATTCACACGGAAGCGCGGTCGCGGCACCGCTCTGTTTTCGCCCGGGTTGCCGACGCGTACGAAAGTGCACCTGCCTTTTTATCTTTAGGGCTTGAGTAGACTTCTTTAAAAGTCTTAGAGCGGTTGTTGCATTGAGTGTCATCAGCGTCTAGCATGACGCCCCATGTTTTATGGGTAGAGTAAGTGCGCTTGCCGTAATTTTACCGATGTGCGGCAGCTGCAGCGCCCGACCAGACTGTCACTTTCTGCCACAAATGTCTCAGTTATTATTATTAGTATTATTATTATTTCCGAACCTTGTTTGAGTTTTAAGTATTCTCTATTGCCTGTTTTGTTTTCGTAGAGGATCGCACGAGAGTCGGAGGCACTGCAAGCTATGGTCACTGACGGCTTAAGAATTGCAATGCGCGGCCACGTTTTTACCCCGCCTCATGCTTGACAGGCTAGTTCATATATTCGATCGGTGCATATGCGGACTCCGGTAACATGAAGGTGACTTGGACTGACGTCACGTCAGCTGTCCCTGTGGCCTTGGTGCTGAGCGCGTACCTTCTTCCACATACATTCTGCACCATCGAATTCGTTTCCTTCGGCAAGAACACCCAGGAACGACCACCAGCATCATACGATGACGTCACGTCATGACCACCAGCATGATACGGTGACGTCAAAACGCAGCAAATCGCTCAAGAGCGCTTTGGTACGTATTTCTAGGGGTTCTTTCATGTGGTCCGCGGCTCAGGTTACTTTTTCGCAACAGCCGCGGCAATGATACCGCGCTAGTTGTCTTGGTACACCGTTGAGAGCCATCGAGCGTACAGCCACGCGGGATGCGTCATCAACGTATGCGCAGATCCGCCACCAACACGTCGACACCGCTTCTGCAGAGCGGAGATCGAGGTCAGGCGCGATACGAACGGGATTAGGCTTAGCCGCACTCTGCATTTCGCATGCGGCCAGTGACCGGCGGAAGATAGTTCTCGTGCTTGTCCTCACAGCGCCCCGTGACCCACACGCCGGAAACGGACCGACCGTTCCCTGTGCCCAGTACGCGCCTCGGTCGACGTCTTCACCGCCCTGGCCTCGGGGTCTTGTCCCATCGCCTCGTCGCTGTCGCGGCGCCGAGTCCCGTCTGGACCGCGCTGCTAGAAGTCCCGCTGTTCGTACAAGTCCCTCGAAGGTTCCTGGACCCTCTCTTCCCGGGTCTCGTACACCGGGAAGTTGGTCTCGGCCGTGGCGCCGTACGAGGCCTGTCTCTGCGGCGGACCTTGGCTCTTGGGAGCGTCGTCCTTGAAGGCGTTCTCCAGCGGGTTCCACGAGGGGCCTTCGTCCTCGCGTGGAGGTTCGGCCCACGGCTGCTTGTCACCGGACGCGAAGATGGCGTAGAAGATGACGCCGCCGAAGTGGATCAGGCTGGCGATGAGGAACACCTTCTCCCAGAGGGAAGCCACGTCTCCGCTATGGAGCTGCACAGAATTAAGGCATTTTAGAGCGCAGCTCTTAGGCGTCCGTTTCCAGCTTGAGCGGCGTCGCCGTCGCCGTCGTTGTCGGCGTAACCGCGCGTTGCATTATAAGAAGTTTACCATAATGACGTCACGAGGGTTACCTTCATGAGGGTTACGAGGGTTACTCTCACGAGGGTCACCCTCACGAGCGTTACCCTCACGAGGGTTACTCTCACTAGGGTTACCATCATGAGGGTTATGAGAGTTACCCTTACGTCACCCCCCCCCCCCCCCCCCCCCCCCGAGGTAACGTGACCTCGGGAAGTCACCTATCCCTCAGTACCCTTCCATCCTCCTCCTCAAGAGCTGCGCTCTAATCCGGCGTTACAGGGAGTTGTAAACGGCTTTTCAGTCGTTTTCTTAGCCCATGCTCAATGCCACAGTGTTTTTATTTTTTATTTAAACATGTTTTTGGTTTTATCATTCGCCAAACTCCCTCAGTAGATTACAGTGATTGGCTCTCCCACCAAGTGCTTGCCGGGAAAATGGACGCACTGTGTTTATTTTCGAGTGTAATTTCAGAAGGTTATACGCTCCGAAAAAGCTTTCAACTCCACTGTGATCTGGAACACGAGCCAAATAAAGAATGTATGTTTTACGGGGGAAAAAAAGAAAGTACATCGACAAATTGCGACTCGTGTCTATTCGGGAACAACTTTCTGTGGCATTATTCGACCAGAGGAAGAGTGCGGGTGCACAGCTTAATCGGCGCTCAAGCACGCGCTCCCGTAGCGTGAGGCAAGGCTGTATCATTGACTGTCTGATGTTATGGGAAGGTATTCACTGACATCTTAGACGTAGACCAACTCCTAGGTTATCGCCTCTTGGCAGTGGTATTACGTCAAGGAAGGAACTGCAAACATAGCAAATTTCTCTTAAATCTGTACATTTATTTGAAGGATACCCCTTGTATATATATATATGGTGGAATTACGCACTTTTCTGTCGGTGAGGTACTCGACCACGATTGGACAGAGCATGCCGGCCAGGGTGCCGACGCCATTGGACAGCCCCATCAGGATGCTGGCGTATCTCGGGGCAATGTCCAGATGATTCACATTGAAGCCTGAAACGTCCCATGGCTAATCAGGCAAGCAATCGCTTTCTTCACCCCGCAGACATTGAACAAAACTTTTATGCAGTAAGGGTTTACAGTCACTTTGCACTAGTTTTCCGCACTCGGGCAACTGTACTTAAAAATGCAGTCCCATTCATACTTCCTGAACACGTAAAAGGCATAGTTGTCTTTGATAAAGTACAACAGCAGTTTACTTCATCGTCGAGTGACCCCATACAAGGATTGAGTACTGAATAAGAGTATTTAAGAATGATCTGCCTATGTAATAAAATAAACTATTTTCAGGGAAGACAGCAGAGGGCTTCGGGGGGGAGAAGGTAAGTAATATCCACGTAAGGCCAAAATATGCAGCAATAGAACGTTTCCAAGTGCATCGTCGTAATAGACCCGTTCCGAAATACTGCCCTCTGTGTGCTGCTGTGAAATCCCTGCACAATGGCAGACTAAAACTTCCACGTCACTGCACACTGGAGAAAACACACCCACAGGGAAAGGTGATGAGCGCAGTGACGTTGCATTTTCGACACTGATGTTGCTCTTCGACTCGTAGTGTTGGCCGCGCTTCGACGTTCGCTATCTTATGGAATGACTTGCACGTTCCTCGATTCAGTTTTTCCGCCACTGTGCAGTGGTTCCGACCTCCTAATAATCGGCACGTGATTCTCGAAAGGGGTCGATAACTAAGAAACTGAAGGCCACAGGTGGCTCGGATGCCAAGGCTCTCAACTCCACTTTTATTTCAATGTTATTGGTTGTGAAAGTGACTTCTCTGTTCCAAAAGCCTACCTGGAACCTACAACTGATGTGCACTTTAGAATTTGAAAGCCCGTAGCGAAATACGTCTATGTGGGTACAAAATGTATAACAACGGTATTGAAAAAAAAAGAGAGAGAAAAAAGATAATACCACGCGGAGTGTAGACCTCGGCTCACCTGATATGGCAAATCCGCTGAAGCCCACGGCTAGGGTTAGCGCTGTGATGGCCACCGGAGTGCTTCGGGTGTAGCCAACCACAAGGAGGAACACGGCTTCCATACCGAACCCTGCGCAATGGCGCGGTGCGTTGCGGTCATCAGGCAACTACGTATCACAACTGATAATGAAGTCTATTCACACTATGACGCGGAGAAGCAAACGTGCAAGAGGTCTTGCAATGCAAAATGCGTTGACCACAAAAAAAAAAAAAAGAAAAAAAGTTGACGGGGGTACGTTATTGTTTGCTCGGCGATGTAAAAAAAAAAAAATGTGCCCAGTAACTTTAACATTAGCGTGAACCGCTGCGACGTTATGGACTACTCGACGATGTCAGAAATGTGCCGGGTTTTTTAGACAACGCGAGTTGCTGTAACGTTAATTATTGGCTGCCTGACGACCGTCAGAAACGTGCCGAATCGTTCTGCCAACAACGTGTGGTTTGCGGGTTTGCTCGGAGTGTCTTACCTCCGCAGTTGAAGATCTTTCGGACGAGCGTCGTGGTGAGGATTTGGCGTCTGCGAAGATAGTCGGCCAGGTGGCCTCCCACCGGAACCACCATGGTCATTAACAGGTGGGGCAGGGCTCCCACCAGTCCCGACTGCGAGCGGGAATCGACATCAGCGTGACGAGCGTCGACCGTGCAACGCGTATACAGCCCATTTCACTGAGTGAGCCCTGAGTGTTTTGCATTTGGCTACAGTTGTACTTCGAAGTGCAGAACGGTGACGAGAAAAAGTGTGCGGCTCTCTCACCCCGCGATTCGAATGGGCCGGCTTAGCGTTATTCGCGCTTGGACTGTCCAATGATGCAAACAATTCAGCGTTATTGGACTCAAACTACTCTTACGAGTATTTGTTCCCTAACGGACCCGCGCTTTATGCACCACTAACGCTACGCAGTGCAGAGAGCTGAGATTCCGTCTGAATGTAACGAGGTTGATGCCTAAGTTGTGGACAAAGGCTAAGAAAAAAAAAAAAAAAAAAACAGTTTTCTGCTGAAAATTTTAGCAAGAACGTTTGTAATTGGTAGCATGCACTACTCAGGAGCTCATTGTATGCTACTAATTAACAATGTATTCTTTATGTATGGACGTTCTTAGTATACCGAATAGCAAGACTACTTTCAGAATCGTTAAAAAATCTAATAATGAAGCCTTAGGTCATTATACAAGATCGTAAAAGCGAAAGCAAGGTTTTTTAGAGTGGAGCTGATCTTTAAGTAAAATTTTCACGACCAACGTACATGTTCTTTTGGGGAGACCAAATTTGATCGATTACCATTTGAAAACACATTTAAAACAAAAACCAAAAATAAAAATAAGCTTATATAAATATGTCAGTGACCTTTAAGATCCTTATGTAGCATAGACTCAGACTGGCGTTACATTCGTTATCTCTTCATCTGCATCCGGCAGCGTTTATAGTATGGTAGAACCGAGGGCGCTGGTCAAAATTAAGCATGCATGTTCCAGGTGAGATTGAATGCCATTGTCACTATAGACGCCGAAATCCTGGAAAACCTTTTGCATCTTTTCAAGCTGCTGACAATGTGACAACGGCGAGGCGACGACAGTGCCTTTCCGCCATTTTGCGCTATCGAGAACTCGGGCCATAATGGCGGAGCCTCCCCTCTCACAGTCCGAAGCCTCTGCAGCAGGGTGGAAAAAAAAGCGCAATTTTTTCTTTAAGTAAAGTAACTAAGATTTATTTGATTTAAATCTGATTTATTGAATTAAACTCAGACATTTTATTTAAATCCCTGCGGCTACAACATAGTGGTTCTATTTAACTCGATGCATTTTTAAACATGGCAGATTGATAGATAAATTGGATTACTAAAAAAATGCAGAAGAAAAATTTGGAGTAAATTTAAAGTACAGTTTAATTAGCAACTTTTTATCGAGTAAACCCCGCCTTAGTAGAACAATATTAGCTTGATCTGTTTTAGTTAGTGAAAAAGCATTTTTTTTTTCTCTTGTGTTCTGATTTTCTCGCAATATGACATTACTTTTCTAGTTTTTGTTTCTTTCTTTCGCAATTTCATCTACTCGCAATAGGACGTTGCGTAACGCGCGAACGAAGCGAATGGTAGAAAGAAAGCTCCCAGTTCCGGTTTGCTCGGAAGACCGCGGCTTTGTGCTCGTGTTCTGACATAAATATTTCTTGCTTGGTGATTCTCCTGTTTAAATACAAAGCAAATCTACCATCTGGCCCAAATGAAATGCGAACAGTGCCGGAACTTGGAGCCCTCTACCGGCGCAGAGCTCGGGTCGTGCTAGGCCAGGTTCAAACACACCGGAGTACGACGCACGACCTTGAAGTGCCCTGCTCCGACGTGTTCGAACTTCGAACCTCGCCAAGCACAATCCGAACTTGGAAGCTGCACCGGTAGTGGGCTCGAAGTTCCGTCACTGTTCGCATTTCATTCTAACTTGATGGTAAATAAAAAAATAAAAAAAATAGACACAGGTAAACAAACAAACATTTGGGGATTCTATTTTTGCGAGAAAGGTTTGATTTAAATCATCATCGTAAAACGAAAACCGGTCTGATGTAAATCACGGTTTAAATCTTTAAATTACGATTTACTTCATCCTCGTTTTTATTCTTCACCCCGCTCTGCAGCAGCATTAATACTAGCACATTCGTATAGTATGTTGCAGGTTAAGAACGACAGCTGGACAAGCTCCTGCCACAAAACACTCCACTCTTTCCAATAACGATAATAATCCCCGGAGAAGGGGAGATTTGTGTTAGTCCATGTCCCCCTTCTCCGAGTATTATTATCGTTATCCATGTCCAGCTCGCTGCACCTTCGCATTAATTACATGAACATCACTCTTTCCACTTTAGCAGGACGAATGGCGGAGAGGAGGGGAGTGGAAAGGAGAAAACCACCAATCACGGCGAGCAGAGAGTTTGGTGAGAAGAGTTCCGCTTTTTCTTTCTTAACCAGCAAAACAAAACACTATAATGTGTTCAGATCGTGAGTATCCGTTCACACAAAAGAAGGGGGAGGGGTATACCTTGTCCACTTCGAAATGGAAGACCTGGCCAAAGTACATGGGCTGCGAGATGATGAGAAGGTAGAACGTCCAGCTACGGCAGAAGTTGGCCACGATGATGGCGTACACCGGTAGCGAGGTGAAGATGCTCTTCCAGGGAGTCGTTTTTAACTGCCGAAAGAAGAAGAGCGAGGCACGAGTTAACGAAGCACTCGGTGTCGACGAAGCGAAAAACAAGGGGGGACACAATTGTCTTACGAGATTCTACTTGCCGGTGCTTGGACAGAGCTGCGTTCTCTAAGAAATCTGCAGCGTCTGCAACTCTCGCAAAGCACCTTATCTACGGAAAGAGGAGCTATACTCGGCGACAACTTTTCTTGGCAATGCAGTGGAGGGTACAGGCACGTGTTTTCTATCCAATTTTGAGCGCTGGATAAGGCTGTGCGTGGGCTATCGTCAACTTCCTCTGCATTGCCAAGAAAAGTTGTCGCCGAGTATTTTATAGGCGAACGACAAGACACGAAATTCCCTACATTCCCTATATGTTCCCTACATCTGTGTGTGCGACCATTGTTTAGACATTTTGGTCGTACGAAAACCGTCCGCAGACGTGTTCAAAACATACATATGTATGAAGTTGACACGCCTCAGGAATGCGTGAGGCTCGTCCGCACATAGTTCTGTCGTCCTGTCTGCAGTGAAGACCTTGTCTTTTGTATGACGTATAAACAACGTAACTGGAACTTCAAAAAACAAGTTTTTCTTTCTTTCTTACAAGAAGTCAGATAAATTAGCATTAATATTTGAGGGATACTTGCACGTATCCACTGTACTTATTTATTATTATTATTATTTGCCTCGCAATATTGTCAATAAGATGCTAGATTTTTTTCTTCAAAGAAGAGATAAATAAACGAGGACACGTTGTCTGCGCCTCGAGTGTATTTCGAAGTTAATCAGATGCATCGAATATGACTACACTAGATATAATAAAAAGGACACCGGATAGAAATTTTGGCAAAGCGCGAATGTATGTACTTACATACTTAATATACAAAACGAAAAAAAGACCCGAAGTAAAAAACAAACAAACAAACAAGCATAATGTTTTAATTTTAATTTCCATTAGAAGCGACCTTCTTCGGACCTCTGGCGGCGCGCGCGCGTTTCGCTTTCAATCTCGCTAGACTCTTTAGATGGTGCCGACGAGTACCTCCCCCAACAAAGACCGTTCCGCCCTCCCTCCCCTCGCCACACGTTTCCGGTTCTTTGAATTAAAATTTAATAAAAAAACTAAAATATAAACACACACACAAAAAAGAGGGAAAGCTATAGAGGCATGCTGTCACGTTGAGCAGACCGCGTTTTAGAAAGCGGACGCGGGACTCCCTGTGCTCTTCGTTTCACTATACGACGCACACCAGCGGATGCTACGAGCCATCGGAGCAAATCAACTGCCGTTAGAGTGTCACGTGACCTTGGGGAGTGACGCAATAACTCGCGTGGCGCACGGTCACGTGATCAGTTCATAGCGTTGGATTGGCTGGGATTGGCTCATGGTGTCTGCTGCAGTGTGGTGCAAGGTGAAACTATATATACATATAACCGCGCATATATGTGGCAGCGCCCCCGTTCCCGGCTTCACTCAAATCCCGGCCCAAATGGACTGGTCACGTGATCTCATTTGCTTACGCTGTCGGTGGCGGCGGACTGTGATTCCGCCTCCCTCCCGTTTCCGATACAGACGAACGCACGGGAATGACAGTATGTTATTTTTTTTTTTTTTTTCCTGTTGTGACTTTTTTTTTTATGTCGACATTCGTTATATGGCAATAGGGATGTAGCTTTCAAGTTTTAAGCAGCGCCCCTGGTGGGTAAAACCGGTCATTTTTAGGTCGCGTTTCGGTTGTGCTCCACGTTGCGTCCTTCCAAACGCTTTTCTTGTCAGTAACCGTAAAGAGACGCTGGCACGCGGTAGTTTATGCCCGTGGATTGTGTACGATGGGACGCTACGACGCCGCTTCACGCCCGCATTTAAACAAATTGCATCTCTCGGACGCTAGCAGAGGCGCCTGTAGGCTCTGTTATGGGCAGCGCAAGTTCGTCTGCTTTTTTTGCAGGGGTTGTGGTCACGCCAGAATGCCGAGCTCTGGTTAACTCTGATTGAAGGATAGTGGGTAGACCTCGAAGCAAGCTGCCTTGAGGTCTGCCCACTATCCTTCAATCAAAGCCAATCAGACCTTGGCGTTCTGACGTCACCACAAACCCTGCGAAAGCAGCAGACAAACTTGCGCTCCGCAAAGCAGAGGCGCCTCTTTGGTAGCGTCTTGTGGACGCTTTTGCTCCCCTGGCTGGGAGAAAAAGAGCTAGGCTTTTAGCGATAACAAACATTCCGTGCGCTCCACCTTTTTTAAAAAAGTTTTATGGGGTGCGAACGTGAAAGTATGATAATATTAAGGATAATAATACTTTTATTTATTGTGCCTAGTAACAGCCGAAGCTTAAGCACTGGTGCACTCGTTAGTAGTAAAACAAGAATACGAATAAATAAAGAATAGGGAAGGTAAGAAATGCAAACAACAATATAGAACAAAACACTCAGTATTGACTACGTATATACATCAACCACATACCTGGCGCAAGCACTTTCTAAATTGACACAAGCCTCTACTGAAAATGTCTCTATCAGATGAGTCTAGATGGTTTAAGTAGGTTTGAAGGCAACCCGATGGTGACATAAAGTTTGTGGGGTCAACGTGGAACGTGCGGTGGTTTCGAACATTTCTTCCAGGTATATGATAGTGCACAGATGAGACTAATGAGCTAATGTCGAAGTGACAGTGTATACATTTAAACAAAAACACAAGGTCGCGCGAACACCGTCTAGTTGCAAGTTCAAATATCTGTAATGATTTCAGTACTTCAAGTTATACGTATGGGTCATGTGAACATCTAAAATGATAAATCTAGCAAACCTTTTCTGTATGCGTTCTAAATTTTTTAAAGCAGTCATACTAAGACTATTTCAGATCAATTAACAGAAATCATGTTTTGGGAGAACTATGCTCCGGTAAAGCACAAATAAAAGATATACACTCGAAAAACTTTTGCTTAATCGTGAGATTACACCCAGAAGTCTAATACAAGAGCTCGCAACATGCGGCACATGCGAGTTGAAAATAACTTTGGAGTCAAGCAATACTTTAAGGTATTTTACTCACACTACACGGTTAATGGCCGCTCTTTCTAAACGGTACACAAAAGAAGTAGGATTAGTTTTGCGTGTAAAAGATATAACATTGGTTTTTTCAAAGTTGAGTGGAAGACCATCGTCTTAGACACCACTGACATATGGCGTTAACAGCTTCTTGAAGTAAAATACAGTCACTTAATGTCATTATGTTTTTGTAGATTTTGAGATCGTCTGTAAATAGCAAGAGACGTGAATGATGAACGACGTCTTGGATGTCCTTGACGAATATATTGAAATGAAGAGGTCCAAGGTTTCTGTGCCCTGGGGTACCCCTGATGGCACAGAAAAGAAGCGTGACTTTTCATGAGCACAACTGACACTATTCGCTCTTCCAGAAAGATAACTGTCGAACCAAGAACAATAATCATCACTGAGACCGTACACAGAAAGTTTATGTAAGAATGCCTTACTACAGTCAAAGTACATAGCACCAGTTTGTCCTCGAGAAAAAAAAACAGTCATGAAACCGTGTTGCGTGTCAGGTATTACGCGCGTGAAATAATGTGTCAAATCCTTATGAATTATCTTTTGGCGTCGCTCGTTGCGACAAGGCTTTCGGCTGAAGAAAAAACAGACATGGTGATCGCATATTTAACTATGCAAAAGAATGTTCGTCATGCTGCGCAACTTTATACCGCTCAGCACCCAGGTCGCATCGTTCCTGCCCACACTTCCTTCACACGCGTTTTCAACAAGTTTGCATCAAGTGGCACGGTGGTGAGTGGGCGAAGACAGAAAAACTATGTCCTTAGCCGCGAATTCGAGACTGACGTTCTCGCGTACGTAACAGCTAAGCCTGAAGCAAGCGTGCGCGAAATTGCGAGGTCTTTGGGACAACGATCCCTACAGTGTGGAAAGTGCTTGTGAAGCCACTTTTCACACAGGCATGCATCTGTTTCACGTTCGCCTGTTCCAAGAGCTACATGGCAGTTACTTCCAACGACGACTGGACTTTTGCGATTGGGCCCTGACTGAAATGGACCTGGATCCTTGATTCTCGAAAAAAATTATTTGGAGTGATGAGGCTCAATTCTGCAGAAATTCAATGGTGAACCTCCACAATGCCCATTACTGGGCAAGCGTAAATCCTCATTGGCTCCGTCAGCACAAACATCAAGTGAGATGGTCTATTAACGTATGGTGTGGAATATTTAATGATAAAATCATCGGCCCATATTTCTTTGACGGTACACTGAACGGAAAACTATACATGGAGAGAATCCTTGAGCGAGTCGTGGAAGAGTTTATTGCCGGCCTGCCTCTCAGCGTGCTGAAGGAGACGTGGTTTCAACAGGACGACGCTCCAGCGCATTCTTCTTCGCGGGCTGTTCGATTTCTACACCGAACTTTTCCAGAGAGGTGGATTGGACGCAGTGGTCCAGTTCCATGGCCGGCACGATCACCAGATCTGAGCCCGTTAGATTTTTTTTTTTGAGGTATGTGAAGAATGAAATCTACGCCACGGAACCCACCAGTGTGGACAACCTGAAACACTCGTCGCCGCCTGTGCCGCAGTTCAGCCTGAAATGCTCGAGTGCGTGTTGTGTTTCATGCGGAGCCGACTGGTGATGTGCGTTTCTGTAGATGGACTCCAATTCGAGCACTTGCTTTGTACGCAACTGTTTCCAGCTTCATAAAGTGGCCAGGCGGCGGCAAACGCTGGGTGGCTTATCACATGCCCAAATCCCTTTGGCTGCCAAGCCTTTTTTTTTTTTTTTTAAGTACCAAAATGCGCTAAGCCATATTTTTGCCTGCTTTTCTCGACGAACTAAAAGGTTTCCGAAGAAAATACTGGTGTTGTGAAAAGTGCTAATTCGGGACTCTAAGGTAGACGTCAGCGTGTTGGTAAACTAAATAATATTGAAATAATAAGCAGAGGGACGGACGGTTGAATAAACAGACAGCTTGACGAACAGAGGCACGAGAGCACGAAAGATGCGTTGTTCTGTCCGTCCCTCTGTTTATTATTTCAGTGTTATTTGGGGCTCTAAGTGAGGCAGTAAAACTTAGTTTTCAACAGTGCCCTGTTTGAGCTACACTTGAAGAAGCGCCGATGCCGTGTTCACACTGTGCCGCGTACAGCACATGACTACCGTAACGTGAGCGAGGACGCCGGTGCAAGGCTCCTTCCTCATTTATTAAGAGCCCACAAAACATAGAACAAAGGAAGATTATTTTGTTACACGCTGCAATAGTTTAACTGCCAGAGGGGCCAACGAGTGATATTACGCAAGCATGATTACTTTGTTGTTTAAAAACAAAACCTGGCTAGTTTAATGCATCAAAAAGCAAGAACTTAGAAATAAAGCAGCGGGTGGCAAATAATAGGTAGCAGAAGTCTCCAGCATTGAAAAAATATTTTTCCCAACTAAAACGCAGGAAGCTAGTCTAACGTTTCCGGCGGTTAATACTGCATGCAACAGCATTTATCGTACCAACGAAAGCGTCGCGTCGCCCGCAGGTCAAGAGAGGGATATGACACAGTGGCAGTTGACGCCGACCGCAGACGCCTAAATTACACCTGCCGCGGTAAGCAAAACACCAAGGAGAGGGCAACGTATTGCAAAAGCGCTGACGGCAGTGCCTGCATCACGGGTGACGTCACTGCTGTGACGCCAAGCGAGGGCGAAGATATCGACGTCATCGACGCTCTTGTTCTGGTCAGTTTCGGTTTGAAACATTTTCAAGTTTGGTCTAAGCGGCTACGGTTTTCCCCCTCCCCAATCTGATTCAATTACACACGACCGACGTCGACTGCAGCGCCGATACACGTTTGTGAAACGAATAATATTAATTTTAATAATTTGCAAAAAAAAAAAAAAGTGCCATTACGATAGCCGACAGAAAACAAAGGTAGTACAGTTAAACCGTACCATTTCTGCGTCATACGCCTTACATCCTTTTTTTAAAATTTTTTTACAGGTTTTCCCACTTGTTCTTCGCCAGTGTCTGCGTGGCCCGCCGTCCCACGCGTAGTCTTCTTCCCATGTCGTTCCCGTAATCCCATTTCTAACGCGTGTGTTGGCGTATACGGAGAGAAATTCCCTACGTCCATCGTTTTCTTTTGTCTAGCGACGACCCGTCCTTCGCGAGGCGGGAAACACGGAGGACGGAGTCAGGCGGGGATGCCGAGAGAGCTGTTGCATAAATCATGTCTCCGCCGAAGTACTCCTCCGCTTCGGCGATTCCTCCCCACCTCCCCTTCTTACCGTTCCCCCTGCGACGCGGCTTCTTGCTTCGCTCCGCGGTCGCGTGGCGAAGCGCGCCGCTCAGGGGCGCGAGAGCCGCGTGTGTTTTGAGACGCGGCCCTGCGTGCACCGCTGCTACTCCTCGTGTTTTCTCAAACCGGAGCGCGACATCACGCGGTGCAAAGGTGCTTCGGGATTCATACGTGAATAGACTGCATTGCTAAATTACCCAAGCTCACGAAGCGTGCGCGGGTCTAGCGCGCGCGTGCATCAACGTCTTAATTTGGTTGCTTACTTCAAATATTTAATAGAGATAAGGCGAACGCGTGCGGCGCGTGTTTACCTACTTTCCCGGCACTATTTTCGGCGCTTGGTTAATGTGGCGAAAAGGTCTATGCGTGCAATCACTGCTGCCTAATGCACACATTGAAGGCACCATGCTAAAGCGGCGTTGGTGCTGGCAGACACCGGCATGAGCGCGTGCTTTCCTGTAAATGCTTTATGTGCCCCAGTTTTCGTGCACACGAACCGGTTTACGCACCACGCTCTGGAGCCCGTGTCTTTGTCGACTTTAAAGAGAACACTTGCATTGGACGCCATTTTAATTGGCCTAGGTTCCCCGCGAAGTAAACCTACACACTGTAAGGAATGCGATTCTTTTAACTTCGCAAGTTTACAGTTATAGTTAGAAAAGCAACAAGGCGTCTGGATATTTGTTTATGTGGTCAACTTAGAGATAAAAAATCAATAAAAAATCAAGGCACGTAACGAAGGAAAGGACGTATCCAACGGTTTGTGCGCCCATTCTTTTCTCTCGTGTGTTCGTCTATTTAGTCGAGCTGGTCAAATAAAGAACTTGACAAGCTAATTGGCTCAACAGATAAACAACTTGACAAACTAATTGGCTCAACAGAAGCCCGCCACGCTTGTTGTTAACTCATTTCAGTATTTTATAATGTCACACTTTTCAAATATAGATGCTTGAACCGTCCGTTTATCTCACTGAAAGGCATATGCATCCGAGCGATCGCATATTCAGTGTTGATCAGAGCTGTTCAGTTTAAATTCTAGCTTCTCTAAGACTACCGGTGTCCACTTTCAATTTCTAAATCGCGTGTGCCGCTTACGTATGATAATTATATTGTATGAAGCTCCGAATAAACAAGGTTATTATAATTACAATTGCCGTTTTTTTGTGTGTTTTTTTAAACTCAGGACTAGTCTTAAATAGACTCTGGCCTATACCGAGGGCTGCCAGTGTCGCTTAGCAACCGTCAACTAACAACGGGAATGAACTTGAAGGGACTCTATCATATCAACTATATACATCAGCGCCGAAAGCGTAACGGAGACAAACTGTTGCTTTAAGAACAAAAAATGAGAATGCGTAATCTATGTTCGAGTTAGTTGAAGAAAAAAATTCCGAAAAATACCTAACAACAAAACACTTTTTTTTTTTTTTTCACGAGGCGATTCCCTTGGCGCAGCTTTCTTAAGCTATACCTCCGTTCCTCCGAGACGGCGTGTGAGCCCTGACAAACACGGCGTCAAAAAACAACAACAACAACAACAACAACAATAAAACAGCTCAAAGTTAGGCTCACGGAAAGTCGACTTTAGCGTAAGAGGTGCCTCCACCCGCAAGCCATATTTCATCATCCGGACAAGAACTCTACTGAATGCCAAACCCGAGTAACGACAAAATCTCTCTCCAAAAAAAAAAAAAAAAAAAAAAAAAAAGAGCAGAGGTTGAACAATAAATAAATAAATACAATAAAAAAAAGGGAGTATAAGCTCGAAACCTTTTACAGCCAATGGAAGCTTTTAGGTTGGCGCTGCCTCCTCCTTTCTCCCCCTCTCTACGTCTCTATTCTATGTCTTTTTCCTTTTATTCCCTATTTCCCCATCTCTCCACTCTTTCCTTCTTTCCGTCTTTGCACCCTTCTTTCTTTTAGGCGGTGTCTTTTTGTGTGTCGTTTACTTGTTTTGTACGCAAATACCGGATCAAAGGGAACAGTTCCCCGCCACCGTCAGAGTCCCTGAGATGTCGAAATATGTATTCCCTTTCCCCATTTTTCCCCATTTCTTTCCGCGCCATCCTTAGTTTCTTCCCTTCCCCCCGTTACACACGCGCGCGCGCATTTCTCGAGCTAGTTGCATCCGCGCAAAATGCCACTTTTTTTTTTTTTTCCCGGGGGGAACTGAGGGAATAAAAATACAAGTCAAATGGGGAGGCAGCGTTAGGGATGACTGCGCCGCGCTCGAAAGATTATTCGCCCATTTTGGGGATAAGTCGGCGTATACGCAATCGGGAGGAGAACGCCCGTTAGCGTGAGTACGGCGTGGCGGGTGTTGTGTTGCTACTTCTGATGCGTCCAGCAAATGGGTTCTTCGAAATGGTCCGCATATAAATGCATCGGGATGAAAGCACGGCCGCCGGGCGTTATAATGCTTTTGAAGAGCCGTGTTTCTAACTCTGGGTCATCTTTTTTTGTTCGTTTCCCAAGCGCAGTACTAATGCACTTCGAAAGCAACAGAAACATGACGATGTAATGGTAGTGGTGATGATAATTGTTAGGTTAGTAGATACGTGTGATAGATTTGTTGACTCGATTGGTTGAAACACCGCGGCAAAACTAAGTCGAGACATTTAAGAAAGGCACGGAAGGTGTGGCTCTTAAAATCAAAGTAGCTAGTTGCTACAGAAGTGCTGTCGCCCTTGTGCAGCAACTTGTTTCTAGGACAATAATTCTGGTATCGCTGCATGCCTTAAGGTACTGAACCGGGCCGCAGAATTCAATGAGAAGTATTTTGGCATAGATTGATAAAAGAAATAATCGCACGTTTCAGTCAACCTTTTTGACGCTTAATATTTTATTTTATTTTAATAGTTATCCTTCTGTGAAAGCGCTTCACAAGTGCCCAAACAAATATCTTAGTTCCTTCGAAGTATTGCTACACTTTATACCAGTAGACATGTTCCCTATGATGCTCCATGTGAATAGATAAAGGATTGAATTCTCTTACCGTAGGCGTAGTGAGGTTGACTTGTCCCAGGCTGTTTTCGATGTAGAGTAGCTCGGCCTGGGTGATGGTAGGATGTTTGGAGGGCTTCTCGAAGGACAGCCATAGCCAGAAGACGTACCATAAGGCTCCAAACACGCCTGCAAACAATCCAGGCTTTGAACGGAGTTGGTGACGCTAGATTCTGCCTCAATTATCTAAACAGTCACGTACACTACGAGGCGGTTGAAAAATACAAGTGGGGTCCTCAGGGCTGTTGTTTAAAACGTTTTTGTCGGACTAAAGAGGTACGACATTGCCAAATGCGAAAATCGCTATGAAAAACGATATGCAGGAAAACAAAACCAGAGGAGGTGTTGTACTGTAGAAGGTTTGCCAGACCGGCCAGAACGTTATTTGTTACGGGCTCGTGTTGTTTGGGAACCTCTGCACAGGGGTTAAGACTTGCTTACAAAACATGAGAGCATTCATTTTTTGAAGTGATGAAATATGCAGTCACCAAAATGTTTGTTCAGCGAAACGCAATGCCATCCCAAGATCTTCTTGCTGTTCACTGTCTAAAGTCCAAGGCGGATGTTTGGGGCATTAGACAATGCCCCAACCCAATCACCCGCCTCAGTACATCGTCTACTGTCCCAAGCAGAAATCGGAGGCTCCCCTGAGACTTAGCATAAGTGGGGCGTCATATTAAGAACACCGGAGCTAATCTGTATCACGTGTTACAACCTGCGACGAAGATATCATTGGGCCGCTCATTTGTCCTTGTTCAATTTTATGAACGAAGAGTGAAGCAGCGGGAGACCTTGCGTACTCACCATAAAAATAGAAGCAGGCCTGCCAGCCCACGTAGTCGGTTAAGATGCCTGACAACGGCATACCGACCACTGCACCGGCGTACGAACCTGAGAAAGTACAGAGGCTTTATTTGAGTAACACGCAGAGACCTTGCACATCACCCAGAAAACAAGAACAAAAGCGTAACACGCAACGGTATTAATCTTCTTTTCTTTATGGTTAAAACAAGATCGGCCAAAACACCCAACTCGTATCTCTCCGGTCGGTCTCATTCGCAGATAGTTCAAGCGAAATTAGGGTCCATATTTCACATCACAAGCTGTGGGCAGTGTTATCCGAGCCGATGGTAGAAACAACCTGCCGAGGTTAGAGCCACGAAATAAGCTACGCTTCGGAGTATAACAAAATTTACCCATCTTAAAATAAAGACTTTGTGTTGTGTTGTCCTTCCCCCACCCCCCAGTCTCGGGGTTTCGTCCACAATGTTACCCATCTTGATGTTTCATATAATGGTTGCCAGTTATCTCAAGTTTTAGCTGAAATCACAGGAAACGCTTTTCCGTCCTCCACAAATGTTTCAACAATTCGCGACAGAGCAAGGCAATATTACACGAGGTTCTTAACACCGAATCTAATTCCGGGGAAGTCGCACTTTTTGAATCACGACGATGGGCAGCTGCGTCTGCTTTGTACTAAGACCCAAGATGGCGGAACCCACAACAGTGTCGGGGAACAGAGTGCCGATACTCTAAGCGCAGCTCATTTAGTGGCTCTAGGAGGGCCAATACTTTAAGCGTAGCTCATTTAGTGGCCCTAGCCGAGAAGTGACAGTAGGGAGCGAAACTCAGAAAGAGGAGGAGGAGGAGGATGAGGAGCGAGCAAGAACGTCGTCTGCTTTTCACGCAGGGTCGGACGTTGAAATGCCTAGAGTCTCACCCATCGCTGCAGGGAGGGGGTCGTATATAGAACCCCAAAAGAATCAAAAAGGCTTCGAGCGTAAAAACGCAACCGGTATTATTCGCATAGCGTCGTTCCCAAGTCGACTTACCGCAGAACGCCAAGGTAGCCAAGCGACTTCGTTCTAAAGGCGGAGCCCAATGTCTCCAAATGCCGTGACAGGCTGGATACGTGACGCCCTGCACGCCACGACAAACAGAACAAAGAAAAATTAGAAAAAAGTTTACATAAAAAAAATTATACAAGTTGAAGCGCTGCTTCTACACTGAAGATGACGGACGCGTGCACTCAGAGACGAGAAATTTATTTTCGCGGTCAGTCTTCCACAAGCACAGGTATTCTAGCCGCGTGCATTCGCGTAATTTCTAAAGCGCGATGACAATAAAGCCGCAGCATTTACACTGCTCGTACATTGTACAAAAGACACCTTATTGGCTGCAGACACGATGCCGGAATTCGAGAGTTTGAGGGAACCGTTTTCGCACATCCCATGGTAGAAGCTCCGCCTCCAGCACAAGCTTTCTATGCGGAGCGCAAGATCGTCTGCTCCTTGCACTGCGGCTGCGATGACGTCCGAACGCAGAGCTCTTATTGGATGATTGAAAAAAAAAATATAGTGGCCAATCAGAGCACGGCGTCGTTCTGACGTCACCGCGACTCCTGCGCAAGAAGCAGACGACTTTCTCTCTGTATAGTAGTCACTGAAAGCTTCGGAGACGTAGGGCATGGCACGTCATGTTCGCGCTTCCTGCTTTCTGACTGGTTCTTTGGCGTTCCTATCGGCCAACGCCGCACTCTCATGGGCTGAGGAGCGACAATAAGATGCACGGTATACTCGCCACGCCCTGCCCTGCTTCAGCTGTCAGTCACTCTATCTTTGACCACACATCAAAGCGCGGGTGAAGGTAATGAGCGCGTGCTGAGGGCGAAGTTTCCACTAAAGACCATACCGCTTAGTATTCAGTGTCCATAGACCGTACCATGCCGCTTAGTCTTCAGTGTTCATTGACCATACCAAAAAACGGGCTTCTGGTCGGTGCCGTTTTCAGAGCTCGCACGTATGGCGCTGGCTTTCCACAAGCGACGATCATGTGCGTGCTGCGGGCTGTGATGTTCTCACGCTGGCTATGCCATCTTGTAAATACTGGAACAATGTATGTAGAGGACGTCTTTTTTTTTTTTTTTTTGAGCGAACTTTGCTGCAAGCCACGCGGTGAAAATTTGTACAACTTCACCGTTTTTGCGTGGTAGATGTATGCTGACGCGTTCGTAAGTTCAATGGACCACGAAATGATTTTTCAACTTCTTCCTCCTTAGCTTTTCTCCTCAACTCAAAAAGCGAAATGAGAAATTACGTGGTCGGGTCGTGTTTCTGCCCCGGATGCGATGACTTCCAAGCTTCCGCCGCGCTTTTTGAGAACGCCACGAAAAAATTGGGTTGTGTGTGTGTTTATACAGCCTAGAACTTGGTCTGCCTCACAGGGGCGACGAGTCTCCCAGCTGTAGATGAGAAATTCAGCCAGTGCAGTACGACTGCTAAGCTGGGGTCTTTAACGTGCTTACGCAGTAGTGATACACGACCGCACGCCGGTACGATGCTCATCCAGATCGAAACGGGCAGGGGTGGGGCTCGAACCCAGGATCCCTGGGTTCTGCAGCGCGAGCTTTCGCTCCACGTGCTCCGAGCTGGTGTGCGCTAGACCACTCGGCCACCGATCCCCCTGAACGCCACGAAACTTGTCATTCGAGAGTGACGATGAACGCCGTCAGGGCACTCATTGGCCGCGAACGCGAATCCAAGTATTCGTCGACGGATTGATTGTTGAGGGGCGCGTACGTCCGAATGACGCGGTGCTAGTGCCGGCTGACGTACTACATGCTCATCGCGGAAGAGTCACCGTGAAAAGGAGGAAAGAAATAGTCCGCTATATTTTCAAATTTTCGTACCGAAAAACAGGCATTGGCTTTGATTGGCTTCCTACTTTCGTGTGCTAGTTTTCTTTGTGGCCCACTAAACGAGATGTGATTACTACAATCCCAGTCTAAAAATCCTTTATCCCAGCCCACAATTAATTTTATGGTTTCTTAGTCTTTCAGAAGCGACCATCTTTCTTATGCGCCGTATAGCCCGTCGAACATTTTATCGTTAATTAGACGCTTTAGAGCCTCGACTCAGAAGAAGAAATGAACGACAACACCGATGTTAAATTATGGATGAAATGGAATTCATTCTACGTAACAGTTTTTAAAGCACCATCGAACTGTTTTTGTTTTTGTTTTTTTCAAGAAACATTGCGGTGTTCGAACGCGGCAGCAACTAAGCAGCAACAAACGCCGCGTCTTCTTCGTGTGTACTATGCCACTTCATTGCCATTCAATGGCCGGGCCGCTGCAGTAAAGAAGCCAGCTGACCGAGGGCCATGGGATTTCCTCGGCGGTAGACAGAGCCCTGGAGGCAGGCGCGGGTAGGTTCTAGGAATTGATTGCCGTTGAAATATTGAGTAGGGGACGCGGCGATCTCCGCCGAACAGTCTGGGGTCGACCGCAGCTCCGCCGTTTAATTTGGGGCACAAATCGAGTCTCTGCGCTTGCTTCCATTGGGTTTTCATGGATTGCAGTGGCGGGTACGAGATTCAATTGCGTTCTTACAGGGTATTGCGCGTCGTCCTAGTAGTCGTTGTGCTTTATCCGTCTGGATTCATGTGCAGGCTGTTGCAGAGATTTCTGCCCTGTCGCGTGAATTGACACGAAGCTGCATTATATAGGGTGGTCCAAGTCACCAGGCTCGATTTAAAATGGACCGTAAAAATTGACACCTGCACATAAAAATCTAAACTTTTCGTCAAAGGTGTATTTCACAGGTCGATGTTTTCTTGTAAAATTACAAAGCGCACTTCTCCTTCTGTAAAAAATAAGGCCAAGAAACTTGCCAGGGTCTACGGCGGGCAGCGACGCAGATGACAGGGGTCCAGTAGCGGGGTGTGTTTGACGTTCGTATTGATAGATGTTGCTACCTCCTTATCGCGAACACCGTGGTTTAATAAAATGAACATAATCCTTTTGAAATGTGGCTTATTCGGTTAAAAAATAAACGCGGACATTAAAAGCAAAACTTAAAGTAAAAAAAAAAAAAAAACGCGTCTGCATAACGACGGCGCATTTGCTGCCAACGGATTTCGTCTGCGTGTCGTCTGCTTTCTTTTGCTGGTCGGATGCACCTTCGGTCGCTGTTCCCGAGGCCATTTATCAATATGAACGCCAAAAACACCCCGCTGCTGGACTTCGTCGTCTGGGTCGCCGCCTGCCGTAGACCCTGGCAAGTTTCTTGGCCCTATTTTTTAGAAAGAGAACTACGCTTTGTAATTTTACGAGAAAAAACCGACCAGTGAAATACACCTTTGACGAAAAGTGTGGATTGCTACGTGCAGGCGTCGATTTTTACGGTCCATTTTAGATCGAGCCTGGTGACTTGGACCACCCTATATATAGTGTACGTCTCCCTCGTGCCCAAACTGAAAAGAGGAAGGCGTGTTTTTTGTGCCTTGTTAAGAATATTGATTCATATTATCTTTGCAGAATTCAGACGGTATTATCGGAAGGGAGCGGACAAAGTACACGATCATTTTGCAGAAAATACATTCTGAACGTTCATACAAAAACACATGGATGATTGAACTCGACAATCAGGGAAACACAAACAGTATCATATCTGATAAGAGTCATAACGAAGAAAAGCAGGCACTAATTCCGTTATTTTACGGACCTTCAAGAATTGACTATTATCATTAAAGAAGAGTTATTATTTTTCCTCTTTTATAATTGGCGTGGCAGACGACAAACGAAGTATTTGTCGCTTGTCGGTTCCTCGGTTATTAAAATGTGATCTCTAATAGCACTCGCTGCGAGACTCGACGATCAAGCATGTTCCTGTAACCGAGGGGAATTAGTAAATTGCTCTTTCCCGCAATATCGATACCGTGGCGTATGGTCCACTCCATCACCGCACAAACCCTGTGCACAGAACGCCCACCACGACGACCTGTAGCGGTCCGCGTGACCGCTATATGACCGCGTCTAGAGAGGGGAGAAAAACAGTCGATCACGTCCCTCCAGCCGACGCTATACAGCGGCGAGGAGACCGAGGAAGCGAGGCGCCATCTCTGCCCACTCGGGATTCGTCTCACGGGAGACGTACTCGAGGTGCGTCGCGCGATGAGGCATCGGCCGCCCAACAAGTTGTTCATTCGCGTTAGATCCCCTTTGCCGCGCGCAGGGCCGGGGAAATCCTCCAGGGACAGATCCCTCTCGCTTGTGGTGGCCTGCAGGAAGTGGCATCGTGCTCGTCTGGCTCGCGTCGACGCATCGCACGGGGATTCGCGTCTCGGATGTAGGAGCGCGCCGCCGTCTTCTGGGAGGACTTGGTTATTTGCAGCTTTTGGGGTCTCTATGGAAACTGACAGCGGTAGCGCAGCTAACACGTCTCACAGAAGGCAGTCTACAGACAATGTATGAGGCGTGTCTGCAGGTAATTCTGTTATCATGTCCGCAGCGAACACTGCGTCATTTGTACGATGTAGGTGGCGCGAGCTACCGCCCGTTATGAAGGGTACAGCCGTTATCTATCCATCCATTCATCCATCCATCCATGTATGCGCAGTGGGACCGCTGGTTTAGAGACGCAGGGCGCGTCGACTATAGAGCATTCTACAAGCGCGCCGCAGCCAATGAGATTGTGCCATTCGTCTATAAGAACTCTGAAGAACGAATCACGAAGCCATGAGCACTGAAGCTTAAGCTTAAGAAACACCCTGCCTTTTTTAAGCTTCTCGGATGGTGAGAAATGGATGGATGGATGAGAAAATGCTTGTAATCAGAACAATCAAGTCCTCGACGCTCGACGCTCCAGGCGCTGTTGAACTGGCCAATCAACCTGGACCGCCCTACATCGCCTCTCGCGTAAAGCGCGATCCAAACCAACGCTTCTTTTTGCGCCTGTAGGTCGTCGAGGACCCTATGTCAGGTTTTGGGTGACGCGGCCTATCGGCTTTGGCTTCGACTTGGCTGCGGTTGAGTGCTCATGTGAAGCTGATTTGTACTTGGATGACGGAGGTTAGTTTTTGTTGTCGAGCGCGGCACTGAAGAAAGCGCGAAAGGGCGGGCACTCGCCTCGACCAGTCCTTGTAGAATCCGGACGACCATGACCATTGAGAAGCCGATCTTGGCCGCGCCGGGAATGAGCATGTTGAGGAAGGCAGACACTGCGATGGCAGTCCCGAACACCCTGCACAAAAACATTGTCAAAACCGAATAGGAGGAGTGCCACGACGTTTTCAGCAATTAATTCTCGCAAGAACTACCGTAAGTCTCGGTGTATAAGCCTCGTTTTTTTCCCCTCCAGAAATGTTTGTTTGTGCGATTTACAGAACGGTGCGCCTTACGTGTGTTATTTTCCTATGTATATGAGCCTTAACTGCCCCAATGTGCCGCGCAAGTTATATTTATCTTTCAATTTTTTAATTAGGATATTGAAACCGGCTGGCGCTAGCGCATATATTGCTATCGCAACACGCCTATGCCGGCTTATCAATGCAGTTTCTCCGTGCCGACCGTCCAATTTTTTTTAGTGCTACTTATAGACCAACATTTTTTTTTACTTATACAAAAGCTTAGGACTCCACGACTGCAGTCCTAAGCGTTTGGTGATTATAACAACACTAGACCCGCAAAAGCTGCATGTCTTAAGACTGCAGTCGTGCACGTGTCTTTTATTTGAGACCTTAAAATGTGTTGCCTGCCGATGACCACGGGTTGCGCTCGTGATATGTGAAAAGTAGAAGGAAGACTGTCAAATGAAATCATTGTTGCGCGGGTTCTGAGACGGTGTTGTTGTTGTCCTTTTTACCTCCTTGTCTCTGGGTTTTTCTACTATGATTCGTCACCAGCTCACCTGCGTGTTCACTCTGATTTCTTTATCACGGTGATGCTATTCTGAGCCAGGAACGACACGTCTGACAATTAATGCTCATGGGACGGTATAGTGACATACATTACAAATGTGTAATTTTCTGAATACATTTATAAGATGTGTTTTGCTATTTAATACAACACATCGTACCACACTTCGCACCACACCTCGTACCACACCTCGTACCACACCTCGTACCACACCTCGTACCACACCTCGTACCGCACCTCGTACATTACGTGTGTCCTATCCAAACCTTTTATTTATTTATTTTAGGAGAAGGGGAAGGGGGCTGCTCGGTGTCTTATTAAAGGTGTTCTACCGTCGTATTGCAGTCTTGGGGGAACAGTTTAAAACATTTGAGAGGCGGTAAGCAGCCGGGAGAAGATGACCGTTTGTCGGCGGTACCACCAACCGAACACTATACCAAACATGTGCTTAGTTCCCTTTTATGTGTTACCATCGGTCACCGATTCACTACTCCGTTTCAGTTTTACGTTTTTTATTGTCTTAAACAATCTAAATAATCAGACACCGGTTTAGACGTACCAGATGACAGTTTAGTGTCACGATCTTCTAAAGGAACGCCGTGAACATCTCGGTATTTTTCGGTAATGCTTTTGCGTTTAAAGACGTATCGCGTGTTTACGCCTTCCTTTTCGAAAAAGGAGTAAACGTGCGAAAGGATTGAGAACAAAGCCAGTTTGTTATGATCCATAATAAAAAGAAAGCGCAAAAAAAAAAAAAAAAGGTCAAATGAATGACAAGTACGACAGACGAGCGCTCACTCACATCTGAAACCCTACTTCACAAACCGTTTCACGAGCTGTTAATGAAAACAAACTTTCAGTTGTGAGTGAGCGCTCGTGTGCTGAGCTTGTCTTTCTTTCGGCCTTGGTTTTTGTGCGTTCCCTTTTTCATAATGAAGCAAACATCAGACTGAGAAAGAGGGGGAAGGCGCACCGACCTGTTGGCTGGGTACTTGGCTGCCAGGAACCCGCCTGGCACCTGGGTGATGAGGTAACCCCAGAAGAAGGACGAGTCGATCACCCCGATGGTCTCCGGCGACCAGTCGAACTCGGCCTGCTGCGAAAGCGCACAGAGCGCCGGAGAATCGGGAAAACACTTTGTAACGACGCCATAGCTGGAGAGTGATATACACTGGCGGCCATTGAGGAGGAGATCCAACCGTCGCGCCCTTCACCGGCTATGTTGAGAACTAGACCCAAAGGGACAACAACGACAGGATGTATTCGCTTGTGTTTCTGAAGTAGAGCTCGGCTGAAGTATTCGCGTCTCCAGCTCGACGCTCGCCCTCCCGCGGCGGAAAACGGAAACGCTCTAGTGAGGGTCCCCCGATTCTCCTGCTCAGTGGGCGCGGCGGAACTGCGCGCGATCATGGCTCGCCAAATGTCATTTCCGAATCCAAACAACACCCTTCACTGTCCCAACGCAGTGCTGCAGCTGGTATGGGATTGTACCTTACCAAAGAGTTTCAGCATTGCGCATAGAAGCAAACGCAAGCGGTGTGCGTTTGCGTTAGAGTTGCGTGCGCCACGTTGTGCGTGCGCCTCATCGCCATGCGCCATCCAAGACCGTAATCTTGGGCTCCGCGCACGCTCAATGCGGAACACGCGAAGCAAACGCAAACGCACAGCGCTTGCGTTCGCTCATATACGCAATACTATAAAAGTCACTACTGTTTCACCGTAACGTGCTGCAGCGAGCAGACGTGTAAGCAGGTCGGCGTTCATCGAACTAGAAAGGCTGAGATTGGCAAAACGACAGAGCGTAGAAATAAAAGTAACTAAATGTTATAGATAAACTAATAATTCAAAGAAATCTTTCCTTTTTTTTTCACTTTTGGGCGTTTGGTTTGGAAGGATATTGGCGGCGATTTTGGACGTTTCGCCGATTGTCCAAAGTCGCGACTTTGGTAACAAAATATACTTTACCCCCATTAATGTAATTTTACATGAATTTCACGCATTAGCTTGTTTTCATTGATTTTAGACTATTTTTATTATATTACTTGGTAATTAAAAAATGCTGCAATTGGCACGAGTGATGATAATTGGCACACTTTTGATTGTCATATCTGTTCGCGCGTTTGAAATTAGATCATAAGCAACAAATTATATTAGAGCTTAAAAAATTACGTATTAAAATATCTCACATTTATTATCATTATTAATACAAATCAGAGCAACGTATGCCCCCAATTAATGCCAAGATCGGAGAAATACGCCATTTACCCGCAATAGTCTTTCCAGAAAAGTATAATTTTTTTTCTTTTAGCTCATGAAAAACGCTAGCATCGTTATCAAGATTGACAAGCAGTCAAACACTGGATGTAACATAAAGTCATATGCGTCACGCCGGTTGCTATAAAACACACAAACACACTTCATTTGTCTGACTCGGATTCCGTCTTTGGGTTTTTGCAGTGAGAACAGCGTTTATTAATTTTTACGTTTAGTGGACATATTGTAAAAATTTGAATTATTCTCTTATTCTTGTGCTGGCAACAATGGCAAAATAATTAATCATCTAAATACCCCAAACCCATTAAAAGGCCCGCAGTTCATTATCTTTCATGACAATTATCTAAGCGAGAAAGGCATCGACGAGGCGCAAATATCATCACTGATTGTTTCGATAATTACAACAACTACAAATATCAGCCATGATCTTAAGCTACGAAAGAATCCGAATTAAGACCTATATATCGAGAAATTAATCTAAAATAGAGGTTAGTTTCGGTTTCGCTCCAGAATTACAACGCGCATCCTAGCGTAAATATTGCGCTAAACTCCGTTCTTGTTTTCAAGGTAAACAGGTGACCTGCGCTCATAATACCCTAACTTCCTCGTATTACCAGAAATAATTTGTGTCGCTCAGTAAAGCCAGCACACTAGACAGGCTCAACAGCGGCACGCATCTCCGACCCTCACTATAACCGCCATCTTGAAAAATGAGTGGCGCCACCTATAGTTATTTGGAGTCGCGAATAGAGGCCGAACGCTAACGGGATACCCGTGTGAAAATTGTACCTCGTGCTCGATCGAAGATGACGTAAGGATTTACGTTTACGGTGCTTGGGGTTGAGCAAACACCGAGCTCTGTGGAAAACCAACTAGACAAAGCTACTCCTGCAGTTCGATCTCCTCACCAAGAGCTGAACCGGTTGGTATACTGGGTGCGCACCGACGGTGAGCTTGCGAATAGTTTACACCATCAAAATAGTAGATTTTTGGCGAAAAGCCGCAGCTTCTTTTAGACATGCGCCCTAAACAAAGTATTCAAACAATAGCATCGTGCGCGTATACCGACCATTGGCGACTCCAACGGTGTGAATTCAGTCCCGTTCCTTTTGTTTCACAGTTTCTCCGTCAGGCCGCGGGAGTTTTCGCTGCACATTACAAGCGGGAGCTCCCCGTTGACGCTGGGTAGCGTAGCTTTACCTGGAGCTGCGGCTTACTCTCTTCACATTAGCATCGGAAAAGTAATAATATTCTCGGGAATTGTCACGCTGTACGTCATTTAAGCCGTCAGTGACTGTAGCGGTCACCTAATTACAACCCCTGTCGCTTTTAAAAAAACGATGAGGCATATAATTCTGTAACTCTCAAGTTTTGAACAGCTCCTCGGGCAAGCAAAAACGGATATATTTAGGTCGCGTTTCCTTTTGTGCGTCTTGTTGTGTCCTTTGCTCTGTTAGTGCCCATGGATCGCTGAGGAACGCTGAGAGGGGCTACGCGGTGAGCAAGTCGTCTGCTTCTTGTGCAAGAGTTGCGGTGACGTCAGAACGACACCGAGCTCTGATTGGCTTTGATTGAGAAGATAGTGGGCAGACCTCAATGCTAGATGCCTTCAGGTTTACGCACTATTTTTTCCATCAGCCAATAAGAGCTCGGCCAGGAGCGCGGGCTAGCTCGCGCTTTTAGCTTTGGCTGCACTCTCAGCTTAAAGGAGCTGTGCAACGATATTCAATTGGAATGTTTTTCTCTCTACACGAGCTTACTGGCACACCTGGGACTCAAGGATACTCACACGCAACGCCATTGGCCAAGAAACTCCTTTGTTGCGGTGTAATTTCAAGGACAAAAGCGATCATTTTCATTTAATCTCTCCTTTGCAAAATTTGATGACTTAACTCGGGGATCGCAGTACACCCAAGTGACGATATTTGAATGCGGCTCATAAATTGGATCCGAGCATTGCGTGGGCACTCGATTTGGGCTCGTGATAATTGCTAGCCCGAGAAGCATTCGGGTTGTGACCCGTGTCCAATCGCTGCAACGACGACAACAGCCGAGCCATAACAATGTCTGGAACTCAGCGCGTGTCCTGCGCTTTGCCAACCCCAGCGCGTGGCTATGATCAACACTGGCGGCATATAATCGGCTCCAGATCACGTGGCCGCTTGTTCTGGCTGCGATTTGAGGCGGTGAACGCTGCTCGTTTTTCTTTAATTTTTTTTCTGGGACTTCTATTGCGTGGAGTGAAAAACGAACGCGTGTTTCATAGGTCATTAACGTTGGGGATCCGTTTTAAGCAGTATTTGCGAAAAGTAAAAAAAATTGTTGCATTGCTCCTTTAAGGATGAAAATAGTATGGCTTACGCTCGTGTGTCTTGCATGGTGGAACGCTAGGACGCCGCTTCACGCCAGCGTTGAATGGTCGCGTCTCACCGGGAGGGTAAAGACGGGAACCGAACGCGGCAAATTCTGGGCGCTGGGGACCAGAGTGTCGAACCGGAACGGAACCGAAAACCGGAACCGAACCGCTATTTTTAGCCGAATCGGAACTGAACCGAGCCGAAATCATTTCCGCAACGTGGCAACTGAACCGGAACCGAACCGAAAAAGAATATAGCGGTAACCATTTCAAAATTGTTCAAGGTAATTTTTTACAGCGGAGCAGTTAAGTGCTAGTTTCCCCAGTATCGTGTCCGTGGGCAAGCAAATGTCGACACAAAACTCCGGACAGCTACCGCCATCTATAAGCGACTGCGGCAACCAGACAACCGGCTGGCTGGTTGTCTAGGTGTCGCTGTCGCTCATAGATGGCGGCAACCTTCCCAGCCTTTCCATTCTGGTTTGCTGACGTGCGACCAGCGATTACTTCATTCCCACCATAGTACAGCTTCGCTGGTCTTCCTTCTTCGCCAGAGTGAAAGCCTGAAAGTTTTTATTTTTTTATTATAAAATGAATGTTTGAGTAATAAAAATTGGCAGCTGTATTTTTATGTAGTAATCAAATTGTCATATACCGAGTTGCAATGTATGAGGAATTCTGGGTTTTTGTGGAGCTTTTTTATTGCCACTAGGATTAATCATGCGCCACGTGGTTACGTGACGTAATGGTGCCAAGACATGCTGCCAAGTACTGTCATGTGACGTGACCCCGTGTAGTAGTCACGTGACTCACTGCGTGAAGTCGACTTAAATTGAGAAAGTCACTAGATATATTAGGGTTGTTGACTCCGTGACTTCACATGGCATCAAGACTTCTCCCTGCGAGGCACGTTACACCGTGACATATTGGACTGTCATGAGCCCGAGTCGAGTGCTCGGGTTTATGACAGTCAGAATCGCGAAACAATCGGTGATGGCTCGTGTTCAATCAGAGATGAGAATAGCCGAGCTCTAACAATGTCTAAAGCTCAACCCATGCTTTATTCTTTGCGTACCCTAGAGCATGACTATGATGAACACCGACGGTATATGTCGATACGGGGTATAACTGAGTCAACGGGAATCTGAAATCAATTTGCTATATCCGCTTCTTCGTTATATCTGGACTCCATAAAAATAACACGCAAAAGAAAAAGAAAGATAACACGGGTTGTAACACGGGAACATGTTTATCGTGCATGCAGAAAGCGGTCAAGGCTTCCCTGCACGCGATGTTTGCTAGATCGGAGCTGCCTCTCGGCGACTGCGAGAAGCTCCGATCGAAAGAAAATCCTGCAAGCTACGTATAGACCGCGTCCAGAGCCCTATCGACAGCCGCAACGGCAGCCGCAAAGGACGCCGGCAGTGGACGACATTCTT